TGTCCCTAGAATTGGCAACCTAGCTGGTGTCCCTAATATTGGAAACCTACCTGGTGTCCCTAGAATTGGCAACCTAGCTGGTGTCCCTAATATTGGAAACCTACCTGGTGTCCCTAGAATTGGCAACCTAGCTGGTGTCCCTAATATTGGAAACTTAGCTGGTGTCCCTAATATTGGAAACTTAGCTGGTGTCCCTGGTATTGCAAATTCATTGGTGCACGAAGCTGAAGACCTGACAGGTAGACTGGTTCACAAAGTCGGAAAGAGGGATCTCCTAGGAAACATACCAAATTTCGGAGGCCTACCAGGTCTCCCTAGTATCGGCGGTGAACTATTTCACAGAGCTGAGAACGTGGCAACTGGACTTGCTTCCAAACTTGGGAAAAGGGATCTCATAGGAAGTGCAGTCGCTCTCCCCAAACTTGGAATGTCTCTGTTCAGGAAAGGTAACAGTCTCGTTAAAAAATGTCCTCGTCTCAACCACGGAGAGAGACATTCTCTTGAAAGCTAACCTATTCCGTTCAATATCACAGGCGTACCTGGTCTCCCGGATCTTGGAGGGCTACATGCACTTTCCAAAGTCGGAAACTCCTTAATAAACCAGGCTCAGAGTGTGTCAGATGACATTCTTCCCAACCTTCAGAAGAGGGATCTTTTCGGACAACCGGCAGGTAAAGTGCTCCCCTCGCTAGAAAAGGGGGATTTCCTTAAAGACATGTCTGCCATCCTCAAAGTCGAAGAAAGTCTGTTGCACGAAGCTGAAAATCTAGTTGGGGGATTGATGGATTCCGATCCTAGAAACAGGAATCCCGAAGGGTTACCTAGTCCTCTTAACATCGAAGAATTTCCTGCTCTCCTTGTGGTGAAAAAGTTACTGAGTCTCCCTAAAATTGAAGAACTACCTAATCTCTCTAGTATCGAACAGTTACCTAGTCTCCCTAACGACGAAGACTCACGCAGTCTCCCTAAAATTGAAGAAGTACCTGATCTCTCTAGTATCGAACAGTCACCTTGTCCCCCTAATGACGAAGATAGTTTAATAGAGATCGATGATTACCCGTCACTTGCGTATCTTCCAGTTGTAGAGGAGCAACTTCCCGAATGTACAACCTCATATGATTGGAACACTCCTGGGCCTGACGGTGAGGACCCCTACCCGGAATTTGAAAAGAGAGAAATCATTCCTTCTGTTTTCAATCCCTCGAACAAAGGCATTCTCGGCGGCATCGCGAGGGAGTACGAAAGACTCTCGAGCGACGTACTTCCGACGATTCTAAAGAGGGATACCGCCGGATCATCTGGAAGTAATTTACAAGGAGTTAACTCAGCTGCCAATAACCCTGTCGCAGGACAACAGCTCGCCCCTGGGAATGGACTCTATAGTGAAAACTCGCCTCAAGGTGCCTTCGTCGGCAAAAGAGCCCTCGGCGACAGATTAATATCGGGAGTAGATACTTTACTTAAACCAGGAATGAACGTCATCCATGATGTTAGCGACGGTCTTAGCAAAGTGTTCCTCCCGTTCTTGAAATAAGACCGCAAGGGAAATTAGTGAGTAATATACTTAACAAATTGAACGTATAAATGCACTTAGATCTTCGAATATTTATTTGAGAGTAATACAACCGAATCTAATGAATTAGTTTCGTTTGCTAACAGGTACCGAGAGACAACGCAGAATAGAAGAACACTGCTCCAAACTGATCGGACGTTAATGAGAACGACAATTCGGTGGGCCGCTTCGTAGAAACACCTCTGCGAAGGGTCCGTGATTTATTATATTATTAATAATAAGCTATAGCTTCATGGTTAAAGAAATAAAATAAATGTGAGACACGACAACAGTAGTTTCTTTATTCTATGAACCAGTTCTCATCGTTACACTGTCCTCTGCGACCTGAGAATTTAGGAATAGTCAAATTCACTTCGAATGTCACGACGTCAACCATTTTGTCCATTGTCCGTCCCGCCTTTACGTAACGCGATATGCGCTTCAAACCAGTTACAAATAAATTCCTCTGTTCCTTCCGCGTTTACCAGAAACAAGATAACGAGACTGTCGAATTTTTCAGTAAATAATGGACTTATTACCTAACTTCTCGAAGCCTTATATATATTCGCTGTAAGCGTGGGAATTCTGTATTAGTTCCATTAGGTGTGCACGCCGCTGAATGTGTCCAGACAAAATCACGATGGAGCGTGCATTCTGGATCGCGTTTGTCGTGCTCTCGTCATTGTCACAGTGTCTGTGCGACGATGTCCTCAGAACGAACGTGGTGGACACCAAGAGCGGTCGAGTGCGAGGTATCATGAAGAGAACAGTATGGAATTCCGTGGAGTACCAAGCATACCTGGGAATTCCGTACGCTCTGCCGCCTGTGAAACATCTTAGGTTCGAGGTGACGTTCAATTGCAACCGTGACAAACCCAATTAACAACTGCACTGCATCGATCAAGTGACATTTCGAATTACTCGACGAAGCTCGGCAAATTATGTTTCATTCTGTTTCTCATCAGTATTAACGATCCTCGTCATTAATAACAGATCAGTATTAGAGTTAGTACTCACGAGAAGGTTCGTATTTCTAGCTTCCAGTACCAGTGAGACCATGGGGATACATTTTCGAGGCTGTTAAGGAGAGCAGCAGCTGCATACAGATGGATTTGTTCACCGACGAGTTTATAGGCAGCGAGGATTGTTTGTATTTGAACGTCTACGTTACCGGGGTATTAACACGATAAACGTTTAATCGCGAATAGACTGCACATTTGGTGACAGGTAATCGAGGATCCAACGAAAATCGATTTCCCATGAAAATCTGCAGTCTAGCTACGGCTTCTTCTCGAATTATAACAACAAGGACATTTTCGTCAGAATAACAACGCAACGGAGGGAAAGCCGAAGCTGAAGCCAGTGATGATTTGGATCTATGGCGGCGCGTACGTCTCAGGATACAGCGACAGCGCGTTGTACGGTCCCGATCTCTTCCTCGAACAGGACGTTGTCTTCGTCAGCTTCAACTATCGCGTCGGTTCATTAGGTACGCCGCTTTCCTTGTAAACCGTAGCGATGACTAGATAGCGCGTTATTCGCATGATCTCAGCGGTAGGTTTAGTGTTGATTAGTGTTAGTTAGATATACTTGAATTATCGGGCTCGTAGGTTTCTTGAAGACGGATGCTCGCAACGCTTCGTGCAACGTCGGTCTGTGGGACCAGAATCTGGTTCTCCGTTGGGTGAACGAGAACATCGCTGCGTTCGGTGGTGATCCTAACTGGGTGACTCTTTACGGCGAGAGTGCAGGCGCTGCTTCCGTGGGGTTCCACACTATGTCGCAGAAATCGAGAGGTAATTATTACGAAATGGTAACGAACGAGTTTCTTCAATCTGGAATGAAGTAGAAATTAGCGATAGTTACAAGTAAAATGATTAATAGCGTGAGAGAAGTATAGAAATGAAAAATACAGCTTGTTTCCTTCGTTCAATTATCATTAATCATTCTTCAATCTAGAATGAAGTAGAAATTAGCGATAGTTACAAGTAAAATGATTAATAGCGTGAGAGAAGGATAGAAATGAAAAATACAGCTTGTTTCCTTCGTTCAATTATCATCATTAACCATTCTGTTTTCATTTTCTTACATATGATTCATCTTGGATAGAAGAAAAACTTTAATTTAATCGTCGTTAATCGTTACCTTTGATTTCTCTGATGTATATTTCTTGAATTAGGACTATTCCATAAAGCAATATATCAAAGCGGAACACCTTTGTGCCAATGGGCATATCTAATGCCACTTGTAGCCGAGAAACACGCACGTACCCTTGGCGAACTTCTCGGCTACAAATCGCTCGACAAGGAAGGCTTGTTAAACTTTCTTCGCACTGTGCCCGCTGACGAACTGATCCATAAACAACAGCAAGTTGGCCTGGTATGGAGATTCAACTGATTTGAAATTAACGGACGAAGATACTTTGAATTACACAAAACTTTCAGCAGATAAAGCTAAATTACATATCGATTGCTTAAATAACAGAGAAAAGAACCTACGTACTGATCTATCGCTGTTTTGAGTAACTGAATCATTTGTTTCCTACTTAGTGTTCCAAATATGAAAGTCTGATCTCGCTGTTCAGACATGTTACTATATTATCTCTCTATTTATTATATTTTCTAACGTTATACTTTGTTTATCGTATCCAAAAACTTTTCAGGATATACTTGCATTCGCCCCAACGACAGAGAATCCTGATTTGATAAGCGACGATCGGGCATTTTTGACCGATTGCCCCCTCACTAGATACCGAGACGGTGATTTCAGTAAAATGCCCACCATGATGGGCATGAACGGAGAGGAGGCGCTCTTCTTTGTGAACTGTAAGCATGTGATTTTCTCTGAAAATCGAGGGAATCACTGGAATCTTTGTCTCGTGCAATACTAGAGCTTTATAAGTGTATTTTCTCGCAATTCTTATCTGCTAATGAACAAACTTTTATCTTAATCATTTGCACTCGAGAGGCGACTCTTAGTCGCCACTTGATTCGATACAGCAAAATTATAAAGTCTTATATATAACAGACGATCTCCTTTGAAACTAAGTAATGAGAAAACATATATGAATTAAAAAGGAAAGATATTTTATCTCAATATTCCACGTATTGATGCATTATACAAAGTATAATGTTCTCTCATTAATTAGTTTCAAAGAAGATCGTCCGTATCCTATCAGAAACTGTTGTATATTTCTAGTGAGAAACTTTCGAGTGCAAACGGTTAAATTCCAATTTACTTCAACTGTTAGAAATACAATTAGAATTCCGTTGGAAATTCATTGCCTGGCACGTGTCTGACCGCGGGATTCCGGCATTTTGTAGATTACATTAAAACAGGGCAACACGACCAATACTTGTGGCAATGGTTCCTGCAACTGTTCGCTATAACCCACTTCCCGGTCGGGTACCTTGGATCTGTCACGAACGTGGTGCTCAGACAGCTGCCTAAAAGTGTCATTCGTCTCATTACAAATTTCGCAACCGAAGCAGCATTCACGGCACCCATCGATCTAACGCGGAAACTTATTATTAAACAGAACGGGGACAATCCGTTCTACTATTATTTACTGAAGTACAGGTCGATGTACAATTTGCATTCGACGATGGGCGAAACGATAAATGGTAAGTTTGTCGCTTCTTTTATCTTTCATTTGTTATTATAGGAAAAGAGTAGACCGTCTAACCGTTCGAGCCGCGAGCGACAAGATGGCGGCTCTCCGTTGCGCCAGTCGGTACCGGTAGGTCCGTGGAATCAGATGAAGCTTACTTATTTGCTTTCCTTCTAATTATTCATTCTCATTTTTCTTATTACTCGCTTGGAACTGGAAAAGTCTAACGATCGCGCTATTTAAAATTTGTTTTTGTAAAAATAGAAAAGCGATATGATATTAACCCTTTGCACTCGAGAGTATTTTTCTCGACAAATATTCATTACTTACGATATATGAAATTTAATATTGAATTTGTAATTTTGCAATTTTCTTGGGTCAAATCAAATGACGACTGAATGGCGCCTCTCGAGTGCAAAGGGTTAAGACGCCTATATTCGATTCTACAATAAATTTTTTAAAAAGTCCTCCGTTTCTCAATGAGAATTCATTTCCGGTCTGAACAGAAAATTCAGCGTGGGTTGTATACGCCCACGCGGCACGGAACGCACGAAGGAAATAAGAAATTCTGGTTTTTCTATGATTTCTCTATGTCTTCGAGTGTTCCATTTAATTCCAGGAACCTCCCACGTGGACGACATCGCGTATCTGTTCAACGTGAAAAATTTGAGTGCACCGACAGACCCGAACGATCCCTTCAACGTATTCCGGAGGAAGATGGTTAGCCTTTGGACGAATTTTGCTAAGTATGGGTAAGCATACGAAAACAATATTCCATTTTAGTTAATAATACACGATGAAATAGTGGATTTAACATTATCAAACCATTTAGTCCTGCTGCCTTCTTTGGGTCTTCTCGATTCAATAATCTTCTCGTTTCTTTTGGCACCATCTCGTTTGTTAACACGTTGAGTGCCGCGAAAAACTTTCGAGTGCAAATGGTTAATATTCTCGTTATGTCTAGGATAATTTCAGCTGGAGAACATTATGAACAACTCGTTGTACAAGCTCACGTGATCCCGTTTTCTAAATTTGAATCTTTTGTCTCATTGAAACCGAAACGTTTTTGAATGTTAAAGTTAAAGTAACATGGATTGCAACGATGTGTTTCTCGAATTGCAGCGACCCAACGCCGCCAGATTTGCGCGGTGTCAACACGTTCGACAATGTCTGGCCGGACGCCACGAAAACCGGCAAAATATTAGAGATCAACGAAACCACTAAAGTAAGGGAAGGGATGCCCGGATCTTTCGCTCCCATATACCAGCCGATCCTCGAGAGTATTCTTCCGCTTGAAACTGGCTGCGTTAACAGTCTGCTGCATTCCTTGACATCGACACCACTCTGATAATACACTTCAATTGTGTACATAATTATTAACGAATTGTTCATAATACTTGTGACACAATAAACATGTTAATACCTCAATGAAACCGATATTGTATTTTTCAATACATTGAATACCTCTCATTACAAGATTTCCCCTGTTTATCGTCGACAGAATAAACGCAAAAGTGCATCGTCCTTAATTAAGACGTAATCACCGTTAACAATGGAATAAAATTGAAACCTCTCGATCCAGTATATTCACTACCAGAGTAATTCAATCAGTTTCTACGATTAACTTTCGAGTTGTCCGAATTTTCTGGCATTATCGTTTACAATATTCGACAGTGACCGATTGCGGACGGTTGTTTAACTTCCGTTTTACTCGTCATGCGTTATTAATTATTATTGAAGTTAATTGACTTTATTAAAGCGTTCGTTATTTAAATATTGAAATGTTGCCTTCTCCTCTCTCGTTGCGCAATGCGTGTAAATTAACGATTACGACGATTAGAATATTCCGGTTGCTGTGCAAACGCTATTTATCAATTAAATACTATTTGCCGATTGCAAGACAATCAACTGGACACCTGTGCATCCAATGATGCTACAATGTCCATGGAGATGTTATTAGTATATAAAGACGATGCGTCCGGGCCGACACGATTCCTCGACGGGTCGACCATGATGGCGCGTGTAGCTGGACTTGCTCTTGTACTGTTGTTATGGGTGACCCAGAGTGCAACACAAGAGCTGCATCGAACTAGAGTGGTGAACACCACTACTGGACCTGTGCAAGGCATCATTAAGTACACACACTGGTACGGCGTCAAGTGTGAAGTCTACTATGGGATCCGCTACGCCGAACCACCGGTTGGGAAACGAAGATTCAAGGTAAAACCGATTACTTGAAAATCGTTGAAAAATTTATCAGATAGATTAACCTTTTTCACTCCGAAGTGCAAATCGTGCCTCTCAGTCACCACTCGATTAGTGAAGAAAATTGTAAAATTTCGTGTATAACATTAATTCTTCAATAATCTGTCGATAAGTGAAATGTAGAAATAAAATACCATTGTTCCTCCTTTTTTGTTAATAGATTCCTCGTTAAGTTAGTTTAAAGGAATGTCATCTGTATCTCATAGAAATAAATTGAATATTTCCAGTGACATATTTTTGGAGCGCAAAGGGTTAATTTACCAAGTTCCACAGCAATTCTGTCAATTTTTAGATAAAGTATTTAGAATTATCGGAAGAATTAACCATATAGTTCACACACTTTCAGCCTCCAGTTCCAATAAAACCATGGACGTACGTTTTCAACGCTTCCGAGGAGGGCAACGCCTGTCCGCAGATAGATTACTTTACCTATCAGTACACGGGCGAAGAGGACTGCCTGGTTCTGAACGTGTACATTCCGATTGTAATTATTCTCTTAATTATTCTTCCCTAGTGAACCCTACCGAGAAGAAGATAGTACTGTAAAGATAATTTCTAAACAAAGAAAATCAAGAAGTTCCGTTCGTTCGCGATTCTTTCGATCTAGAAACCGATTAGTGTCCAATATAGTTATCAGTTCCAACAATATTACTCGACGTACCCACGGAATTCAGTCTGGCTTAAAGTAATTCGGAACTGTTCATGAATTAGAACCCAATTGATGATGATCCTCCCACTTTCACGGAGTTTGGTACAGTGTCGAACCTGAAACCGGTGATGGTTTGGATATACGGCGGAGCGTACATGGAAGGAGTCAGCACGCGTTCCATGTTCGGGCCCGATTTCTTCCTCGAGCAGGGCGTCATTTTCGTCAGCCTGAATTATCGTCTCGGCGTGGCTGGTATGTCCACCGGTTCCTAGAAATTTGATCTTGCTCACGATAGGTATATAAAAATGTCGGCAAACCTAGTATTAACGTTAGAACTACCGAGCAGTGAGATTGTCTTTTCGAAGTTTCACTGTAGAAACTGAACAGCGTGAATATTGAGAGTGCAAGTGATTCGTAATGTAGTTTGCGTAGCTGAATCAATCTCCCCAGTGATTTCTCGGAGAAGCGTTCGTTGGCTTTTCAATGACTGGAGAGAAAGGAATCATGAATAGATCATTCTGACCCATCCGGTAGGTTCTGGCGTTGGAACCGTGTGTTCTGAGCAAGCTTGTTCGCAGGATTCTTGAATCTGGGGCACCCCGACGCTTTGGGCAACGCAGGTTTGAAGGACCAGAACCTGGCTCTCCGTTGGGTGCGGGACAATATAGCGAACTTCGGCGGTGATCCGAATCGAGTGACTATCTTCGGGGAGAGTGCTGGCAGTGCTTCCGTAGCATACCACGTTCTGTCTCCGAAATCGACAGGTACCAGTATTAATAATCGATATTATTATAATATTATGAAGGTAATAAGATAATAAGATTTTGAATATTGTATCTATGGTTCTATTTGAAACAATTTGAATTCGTTTAAAAATTCAGTAATCTAGAGATGTTGCCTGAGTTTCTTTGTTAGTGAATTAACATATTAATATCAATAAATAATCACTGCGATTTGAGACTGATATAAATTCTTCGCTATGAAATTACCTTAGACTAATCGGAACTATCGATGACAGAGAAAGAATTGCACCGTTACAATGGCGTACCGTTCAAAAAGACGATACGCACGAAAGCCACTGCAATGGCGCACAATAGCTAAAATATTAAGGCATGATATGAATTTGTTAAACTTTCGATGAATTATTTCTCTTCTGCTTCTGCCAGGACTCTTCTCGCAGGCAATCCTCGAGAGTGGAACACCATTGTGCCAGTGGGCGTACCACACGCCGAAGAAAGCTTATCTGAACGCCAAGAATCTCGCCAGCAAACTCGGTTACAGGGGGAACAGCACTCAAGAATTGCTGGATTACCTTCTTCAAGCTGATATTCACAGTTTGGTCGTGGAAACGCTGAGAGTCGACGCTGTAATTAAGCTTGGCCGTCGATTATCCATGGAAATTAACCCTTTCCGGTCGGACGCCGTCGTAATGGAGACTCATGAATAATCCCACTTCGAGACTTACCAAACAACAAAGAAGATATTTTTCATGAAAACTATTCATCACTTTCTGACTAAATATTGACGATATTTTTCGCAATACAATTGATTATCTTCTATAAAATAAGAGACAGAACTATTTTACTTCGATGTTTTATGTGTTGATACATTACACAGGATTTAACACGTTAAGCGCCGCGTCCGTCACTGACACTTCCGAATGACTAAAAAACAATCGTAACATACAAGACAACCGATGTGAAATGAAAATGTTTAAGAAGGCAACGAAGTTGATAATAGTGTAACGCAAACGTTGGTTCTCGAAACCTACAAAAGTTCTCGTCCGCAAAGGGTTAACCGTGAAACTACAACTGTAACGGTGTTAATGACATTCTGAACATTTCCAGGGGGTGTTGCCGTTCCGGCCGTCGATAGAGGACACGTCCGTCGCGACCGACGGCAGCGAGTTCCTGACCGACTGCCCCGTGAACCTATATAAATCCGGGAATTTCAATAAAGTCCCCACCATAATGGGTTACAACAAAGACGAAACGCTCTACTTTACATCCGGCGAGTGACACTGATTATACCTGTTTCGATATATGTTTTGTTCTTGACAGCGACGGCCAACGAAATCGTACGTGAAACATCTGTGTAGGAGATCTTGTCTAAACTGTGCACAGCTTAACGATTTAACCCTTTGGACTCGGAAGTTTTTCATTGGAAATATTTTAACGTCTTCTGATGAGATAGAGATGATATTCTGTGAAACCAACTCGAAGAGAAATCACACTTAAATTCAGGGACAAAGCTACTTTGTTTGAATATTTCTCAAATCGATGCATTATACGAAGTTTAATATTAAGTATCAAATTTTATATATTGTATGAAATCAATTGAGTGATAGTCACCTCTCGAGTGCAAAGGGTTATTCGATTTTAAATCAATTATTTGATAGTTCATTGAAGTAGATTGCATTTTCTACGATAACGTCGAGGAATATATAATTAACGTTCAAGTAGGAGAATTAAGCAAAATACTTATTGTATTTTTGTCGTTTTTCTGACTCGAGAGCCATAACGTTTGTCGTTCTACAGCTCTGCTTGCCAATAACTCCCACACGAAGCAATTATCCAGCTTTCTATCGCGATCGGCGGGTCTTAACGGATTACCGAACAAGATACTGTCATATTTCGGAGAAGCTGCGTTGGATTTTACGCCTAACGTCTTCTCGGAGGAGTTCGTAAGGTTCAGTACCGATATATTCTTCGTCGCTCCCATCGATTTGACGCAGAGGCTATTAGCGGACCAGAACGAGGGGAATCCTATCTATTACTATCGGCTCTCGTACGAGTCGGCGTACACCATGCATTCTGAAGAGGGTGATAGTATAAATGGTAAGGCAACATGCCACATTCGTCGTTTTCATTAATGAAATTAACGATCATGTGTTTACTTTGAGCAACTGTTCGTGAATTGTGTAACTTCAGGAACGGCGCACGTGGACGACATCGATTATTTGTTCAACGTGGATATGTTGCACCAGCCAAGAGATCCAAACAACCCCTTCAACGTATTCCGGAGGAAGTTCGTCAGACTATGGACGAACTTCGCCAAATACGGGTAGCAATTGATATGATACTCAATAATGTATTTTCTTTGACGTATATATTCTCTAATACTTCATAGAAATGATATTAATTCGATTTAATAAACCATCATGGTTTATCAGAATAAATGAGTTAGTCTCGGTACGAAACGTATAGTATTATTGATATAATAAATATGTCTTTGAAATTTATAGTAATATTAATATAATAAATGTCTTTGAAACTTATATTTATTATATCAATATTACTATAAATTTCAAATAGTATTATATTTTTGAAACGTATAATAATATTGATATAATAAATGTCTTTGAAACTTATAGTAATATTGATATAATAAATATGTCTTTGAAACGTATAGTAATATTGATATAATAAACATTACAGAAACACCAAAATTATAAATTTCATAGAATCATAAATTGAACAAAACGATTCAATTGTTTGCTGTGCAAAATTAAACGAATTCAAACGTATTTTTCCCTTTTCTGGCAGAAACCCTACGCCATTGATAGGAATCGGTGACCAGTTCGATGTGATTTGGGAAGAGAGCAACCTGTTCGGCGTCCAGCTCGATATCAACACAACACCAGTCCTGCTACCGCGTTTGATCGATTCAACAGCTAGTAGTTACCAGAGAGGCTTTCTATCCCGACTTCCGGCCGAGACCGCCTGCACTTCAACGATGTAATACAGTACTGGCTGCTGGGAATAGTGTAAGACTTCAACTGTGTACGTACGTGTTCTAATAATAATAAGCTAGTAGATATAATTGCGGTTATTAATAATTTTATTATAAGACAGATTTTAATGATGCATTTTTCTGCTTATAGAAATCCATGGCTGCGAAGCTTCATTCGAAGTTAAAATTGGAGATCATCGAGGTATCCACAGGAAGAACATTGTTTGGACTCTTCGATTCCACTGATGACGACTATTTTTTATAGAATTTTCTATGAAACTGGCTACTTTTTGTTATTGAAGTCTATGCTGTATTTAGTACTAGCACTCTAATGATATACTTTAGATACATAGATAATAGATGAATTGTTAGCGATAAATGCGATATAATAAACTTGTTTATTGATTCAATGTCATTTTTATAATAGTTCACTACCCTCCTTCCCATTGTCGACGAAATAAATACTAATTTCGCGGATGTCCTGCGAAATCATTATTTCGAAGGATATTTAGTTTTGGAAACAAAAAGGCGATAGATAATTCTTAAAAGTAGATTGAGTGAAATGTAATTGCAATTATTAATGAAATGAAATTAGAAATGGACAAACTTCGAGGTTAATCGAATCCGGTGATTATCTAAGAGTTCGACTTTGCGAATAACCTTTGACTTATCTTGTCCTCTCGTTTTATACCAAATTAGCTAATGAAGTGTTACAATCCGTTGTCTCCAAACCAGACATACAATTTTATGATAGATATTTTATTGATAGAATTTAGAATTGTATAGATAATAAAAGTTCCTGTTTTAATTATCTACGAAAGAATCATTGTTCACATGACATACTAATGTTCTCTTTATACTTCCTCGAAGTATCGTCTCTATTCTGCATGATCGATTTCCTTCTATTTCGACATATTGAGAAGCAACAATCTACAAATTACGCGAACACTATAAAAGCTGCAGCTGCCAAAGAGATGCATATAGCAACAATTGATAAAAAATAAGTCTAACCGTCGCAATTTCCGCGATCTCGAAGGAAGAACACTGAAGTTTGCAGACTTACCATTGTCATCCTCATCAATGTTCTCCCACCATAGAGAATAGTTCCAAACAATTAATTATAAGACACATAAACACTGTAACCATGATTACATTGTATCTTCTCAAAAAATAAATTCTAATTCCAACCAATGTTTTTCGTTGTCAATCCTATATTTCTCACCCTAAATGTTGGACCCAAAAAAGGCAACATAGAAATGTCTTCAAAACGTGTTCCTTCATCCGCTTCTTACTATACACTGACGACAACTACCAATCAGCAAACGAAAACGTCTGAATAATTAGGAAGTTCAATCTACTAATTGTCTACTGCAATTTCGTTGTAACGTATTACAACACCGATATCCCTATCGCGCGTATTTTTAGGTTAACCTTAAAATAACTCGATTTCCCGGAGTTTCCTGTTTTCTTCTATTTTTCACGGAATTTCCCAGAGCGACCTTCATTTTATCTTCGATAATTTCACTCATCGATCTCTGGTTACACATCACGTGGCGCGACGTGGTGCCGTCGATGACAGCCAAATTATATTGCTGTTTGCCGTGTGAACGTCATTTATCAGTTAAACACAGTTTTCCGACTGCAAGACAATGAAGGGACCACCTGTGCATCGGACGATGGTCAACGTCTTTCGTAACGTTGTCGATATATAAACAGGGTGCGTCCGGCCCGATACAATTGACTAACAGGTCATCCGCGATGGCGCGTCAAGTCGGAGTCGCTCTCTCACTGTTGCTGTCGGTGACGCTGGGCCTGGTCGGGGCCCAGAATCCGGCTCCGGTGGTGAACACCACTGCCGGGCCTATACAAGGTGTCATGCAGCAAACGGCGTACTATTACCAGCCGTACGCAGCCTACTTGGGGATCCCATACGCCGAGCCACCGCTTGGAGAACTGAGGTTCAAGGTAACCGTGCTACCGTTGCTAACATTGCTAATCGCTTTCACTATGCTGCAATGTTAACGCTTATGACTGTCCATTGCCTCGCGATGGTTTAGAAACTTATCCCTGTAAGATGAGAAGAATGGAGGGAAATAATAATGATCGGCATTACAATTAACTCTAGAACTACCATCGAAACGATCCGTGAATTATTCTTTTGCTATTATGGAAAAGATAGCTGCTTTGCGAAATTACTGAAGATTAGTAACGCGAATTGGAAGCTTGATAGTAGTCTTAGAGTCCCCAGAGAAAAATTTCGTGATATCGTAGGTTTAAGACTGGGACAGCGAGTGTTCTAATGGTGAGAGATTTTGACAGAGTTGACTAGAGAAGAGACAAGGCCTGTACACTGCGAGCTATATCGTTTCTATTTATTTGTATTTTATTCGATTATCTACTCCTGTGTTTTTTAAAAATGAAACATATTGAAAATACCATTAATACCACAATTTGGAAACTTCAATTGAACTCGATAGTTCTAGCGTTAATCGCGTCTCGTAAGGAGCTGCTTCGATTTTCATAGATTATAGAATTTCCTCTGAATAATTCAACTTTTTGTGAAGTCCGGGCGAAGCTTGGAAGAATTTGAAGAGTAAGGTATGTTACACGTTTCCAGCCTCCAGTTCCAGTGAAACCATGGACGGAGGTTCGCAACACTTCCCAAGATGCCGATGCCTGCACGCAGATCGATCTCATCACGGGCAACTTCTTGGGTAGCGAGGACTGTTTGTACCTCAACGTGTACTCCAACAATGTAAGTACTTACGTTCTAGTGAGTAGTAGCACACAGGTAATCAAGTGCTCTAATTAATGAAAACGTAAAAAGAGAACCCATTAATTCTTGAAGATCCTGGTAGTCTGTGAACTTCGAAACGCTAACTTGAATTTAACCCTCTGTAGGCTCACGTAACGAAGTCACATATCAGAATATTGGCATCTTATTGGTTTATTCCATTTTGCGCTGGAAGTGGTGAATAAAATAATCAGTTAACTTCAACTTTTGTACGCTCAAGCGTTACAAAATATGTTCGTTTGATGAAATTATTGATACCATTGAGTACATTCTTAACTCGTATTCATATGTGGATATTTATTAATTTTGTACTGCATAGATTTTGTTATAATCATGAACAAAAATTCCGGCTATAGAGGGATAATTCAGATCCGACTTCTGTGTTCTCCCGTTCGAAATTATCTCAGTGTCACGGGGGCGCCGTTTTTCTCACGAAAATTTGATTTTTCACGAAGGTCGGCGGCAAAGAGTTGAAACCGGTCTTGGTTTGGATATACGGCGGAGCGTACATATCAGGATACTCCACGAGCAACTTTTACGCACCTGATTTCTTCCTCGAAGAGGGCGTTATACTTGCTGCTTTGAACTATCGCCTCGGCGTGTGCGGTTTGTTAATCGATGCATAAATATTCATTCGACAATCACCTCTTTGTATCCATAGTAGCCATACTGGCCGACGTTATTGTTTGTCTGCTTCGAACGATTAGTTTGTTGCTTAACACATCGAATAAGATAGAGAATGTATTACGCTGGCTAAACGACTGGAGCGTAATCGTCGAAAGGTTGCAACGAAGAAACAGCTTTGCTGAGAATATCACCGGGAACGCAGAGAATGAATACTAGGTTTACCATTTCTACCCATTTCGAACTTCGTCAAGGAAATTTTTACATTCTTTTCTACCTGCACTGGCTTTTCTTCGTACATTTCATAGTTTCATTTATAAAGAAACTGCTATTATATCTGGTTTTTCAAGGAAACGTGTGATCTTGCTCGCGATAGGTATATAAAAATGTCGGCAAACCTAGTATTAACGCTAGAACTACCGATCAGTGAGATTGTCTTTTCGAAGTTTCACTGTAGAAGCTGAACAGCGTGAATATTGAGAGTGCAAGTGATACGTAATGTAGTTTGCGTAGCTGAATCAATCTCCCCAGTGATTTCTCGGAGAAGCATTCGTTGGCTTTTCAATGACTGGAGAGAAAGGAATCATGAATAGATCATTCTGACCCATCCGGTAGGTTCTGGCGTTGGAACCGTGTGTTCTGAGCAAGCTTGTTCGCAGGATTCTTGAATCTGGCGCACCCCGACGCTATGGGCAACGCAGGTTTGAAGGACCAGAACCTGGCTCTCCGTTGGGTGCGGGACAATATAGCGAAGTTCGGCGGTGACCCGAACCAGGTGACCCTCTTCGGAGAAAGCGCTGGCGCTGTTTCCACAGGATTCCATGTTTTGTCACCGAAATCGGAAGGTACGTGGTTGGCGGACCGTGAACCGCAGTGTTTCTAATTGGACGGCGGAAAATTGCATCAAATACGCGCAGCACGGAAATATTTATAAAATATTCGAAGTACGGTACGATTATTTCACTTCGATTTCTGTGCTCTCGAAAATGATTTTGGACGAATTAAATGCTAGTCGCGATTGCTAATATCAATGATTTCTGTTGTTAGTGGCACTGCGAGATTGATACCAGTATTAATAATTGATATTATTATAATATTATGAGAATTCTCCTGAGAATTCCAAATTCGAGTTACACCACTGCCATCCCGAGCAAACAGCTGCATCTTCGACGATACAGTGACGTTTCTCTGTTGACCAGGACTCTTCCAGCGAATAATCTACCAGAGTGGAACACCTTTGTGCCAGTGGGGCATCCAGACACCACAGAAAGCTTACTCGAACGCCTTAGATCTCGCCAAGAGCCTCGGTTACAACGGAGACACCACGGAAGAGTTGCTGAGATTCTTGATCGACGCTAATATCGACGCTTTGGTTAACGCAACGATGAAAGTCGACTATGTAATCGAATAAAAATTGATTAACCGACGAACTATGAATCTAATGGGACCGCCATTTCATCGTTTCATCTTTTTCAGGGGGTGTTGCCGTTCCGGCCAACGGTAGAGGACCCGACGCTGGTAACCGACGACAGCGCGATGATAACTCAATGTCCGATAAAGTTGTACCAAACCGGAAATTACTATAAAGTCCCAACTATAATCGGTCGCAACGCGGACGAGATGCTGTTCTTCTTGAACCGTGAGTAAAACGCGTCCTCAGGTTGCTGTTTATTTCTTTTTCCACTCTTTGCTTTTTTCTCTGCGTTATCTAGAGTAATGGCCAATGAAATCGCATCGAGAAATGTACAACGCTTTTATACTTCAAACCGTCGTTTTATTTGAAACTATTCGATGAATCGAAAAATTAACCCTTTGCTCATTAAATGTAGAAAAATCAGAAAACGGTTCAATGGCCGATAGTTGACATTCAATTGAGAATTCGGTCGAAGACAGTAGTGCTTCGAAAATGATGCGATTTCTACGGACATTGCTACGCTTTTACGTTTTCGTCGAGTTTTCCAACTGAGATGGCACCGCGTTCACCATTTTACAGTTTTACTTGGCAATGGAACTCACAAGGAAGCGATATCGAACATATTATCCGATGGAATCGGTATCACTGGAATAGCAAACGAGCTACTGTCGGAAGTGTCAGCGTTTTCGATCAACACCATACCCGACAGCTGGTTGCAGTTGTTCATACGGTTCTTTACCGATTTATTCTTCGATGCTCCCATCGATCTGACGCGGGAACTGTTATCTAAGACGGGCGACGGAAATCCAATTTATTATTACTTGCTCCAGTTCAGGTCGCAATACCCTATACACGAGATTGTGGGTGTTACCATAAACGGTGAGGCAATATGCAATATTCGTGTTTTTTATTGATTTACAGATGATTTATTAATTTATTTGTTTATCTATTTATATGTGACTGTATCGGTCACGAGCGAAGGGAAAGAAAGTATAGTTAGAAAGGAGTTAATGATCGTGTATTTTAAGTGATTTAGGATTTCTAAACATGTACCATTGCAGGAACGTCGCACGTGGATGACGTCGGGTACCTGTTCAACGTGGACCTGTTGAATGCTCCAACAGATACGAATCATCCCTTGAACGTGTTCAGGAAGAAGTTTGTCAATCTGTGGGCGAACTTCGCTAAATATGGGTATGAACAGATATAGTACTCGAACGTGTGTGAAATAAACTTTTCTTTACAGTGATATACAGTAAATAGAGTCTAATATTTCGAATTCTATATTCTACTATTTTAGAATCTAATATTTCGAGTTCTAAATTCTAATGTTTTAGAGTATATTTCGAATTCTATATTCTACTATTGTAGAATCTAATATTTCGAATTCTAAGTTCTAATATTTTAGAATCTAATATTTCGAGTTCTAAATTCTAATGTTTTAGAGTATAATATTTCGAATTCTATATTCTACTATTTTAGAATCCAATAGTTCGAATTCCAAATTCTATTATTTCGTATTCTAATATTTCATAAAAAGAACACTTCATTAATTTAATAGACAGACAGAATACAATTCAAATGTATATATTTTTTTCAGAAACCCAACACCACCGAACGAAACGGGTAACAACACGTTCGGTGTGACCTGGTTGGACAGCAACCCGACTGGCATCCAACTGGATATCAACACAACATCCACCATGGCACCAAATTCTTTGGATGCATTAGCCATATATTATAAGAACCTCCTACCTTCTCTACTTGTGGGCGAAACCGGCTGCCGGGCGTAATCGACCGAGATACTTTCAGCCCCTTCTTACCAATTACGACAACAACCACTCTTAATTATGTGTATCTATTATTATTAACCATGTGAATATATGCATATCATACAATAAATACTTACGATAATGAAACTGTTGTATCGTTTGAACGTGACAATAGTATTACCTCTTGAATAATTGCAGAAAAAGAAATTAGAAATCGGTAATTTTTGATAGTCCTAGTGTTAACCCTTAGCACTCCAGGTTGTTTTGTAATCAATCAGCACAACTGCAACTAATTTTTATAGTATCTTTAGTAAAAATGAAAAATGCTATAACATTCCTCCGCACTTTTATTTTCCTTCTTAGTAGAAAATTTGGATGCGTGGAAAATCGAATAATTTTAGGGTAGTTTCTTTAAGATTCATTAAAATATTTAATATTACAACTGGTGCAATATTGGAGCCTAGAGTTCAAAGGGTTAATATTATTCTTCAAAGATCGATAATATTTGAGAAGAAAATTGTTTAATATAGAATCTCATAGAACATACAATGAGAAACGAAACGAATATCGGAAACATAATTTCCAATGACACTGCTGGAAGTTTAAAATACCGTTGCACAATACACGCAAATATTTATGCACTAAATGTTCTTCTATAGAATGCATGGCGCGCGTCGGAGATGTACACACGATTTGTTTGTTAAGAGAACAGGAAACCGCGGTGTGTCTAATTGGTCTGTTGGTAAACAAGCAATGGCGGTGGTTTACACTGGGGAAACGTGTAACATTGTACGGTATCGCATGGCGCCGTAAAACGTCTGTAAACTGCGATTAACCGTTGGCAAATGTTGCATGTCGCCAGAAGTTCAACTGAGATTGGCTGTGAGCAATTCGCACGAAAAAAAGACTAGGAACTCGAAGAATAATTACTACATCGAACAATAGACAATTTTTGAAAGAGAAATGAGACGAGAATAATCCAGGGTTAAGGAAACAAGAGTTCCATTTATAATTATGCATTGCCTTTGTTTTATTTCCCTTGATGAATATTCGAAACTAATTTCATTCGTTTCATTCTTAGACTCTAAGAGATCGAAAACAGATGAGAAATACATAAAGCTAAGATCCACTGTTGCACACCATAGATAAATACGTAGATTCTGTAATTATAAAAATAATAAAATAAAACGAATGAAACTAATTCGTAACTAGTAATTAGTAATCAGAAAAAAATGAAAAATAAATACAGCTGAACATCCACTGTTGCACACCATAGATAAATACGTAGATTTTATTAACAACCTTAACAACGAGTATGTAGAAAACTTATATATTATCTTACGGACCGACCGCCATTCTGAATGGCTCATCGAGGATGAGCTGTTCTCCTAATAATCCAGATGGTTTCCAAATGATATCAATGGGATTGTCATGGAGAGGCGTAGGATTTCTAAAATATTACACGAGCTTAATAACGAAAGTAAATAGTACGCCAAGGGGTTGATACGTGCAATGGTGCAAAACACGATACGCAATTGCCTGAACGTACCCGAATTTCGCGAAGTTCGTCCACAACTTAGCCATTTTCCGCCGGAAGGTGTAGAAACCTGGATTAGGATCGTCGCAGCTGTTCACGTTGTATTTACAAGAACTGAATAATATACCGAGATCGTCGCAGTGCGTGGTCTCTAAAAGTGGACGTTAATTACGCTTACAATACAGAGAATCGCGTGCGATCGCGGTATAAATCGAAGAATAAAAAGGAGTGATTCGAATTACGGTTCACTGGAAAAGTGTCGACCATGTGATGGTGAAATTTGTTGTACTTCAGTAGGTAATAGTAAACAGAAGAGTTTCTGTTGTACAACGCCATAAGTCTCTGGTTGACACTGATGGCACCACTGAAGTATACATTGGAAATAGTCTGTATTCGAAACAAACACATTATACGAAGAATGTCTGATTCACTTCACTTCAACACCAGAACAATCAGCGAATTCTTAGATCATATAGATAGATTTTAGTACATTCAGGTATCCCATATACTCTCACTCACCGCGTGATTCGATATAATAAACTTAACCCTTTGCACTCGAGAGGTGACTCTCAGTCACCACTTGATTTGACACAGTAAAACTATGGAATGTAATATTTAATTTTAAACTTTGTATAATGCCTCGATACGTTCCTTAGTTTACGTGTGTTTCGTTAGTTAAATTCAAAGGATGTCGTCCATATTTAGGAGAATTTCGAATATTTCTAGTGAAAAGCTTCCGAGTGCAAAGGGTTAATATTCGCAACGCAAAGCAAGAAAATTTGAAATCCGCCATTCTGTTCGATTGTTCCAGTGCCGAGCGAATTTCTACTTCGAGAATGCTCGAGCAACGTTACCCGCGCCAGTCTCGCTATTACGTCGAGTTCCATGGTGGTGTTACCGACCTCGATGTACAAATACCGAAAAGCATCTGTAACATCAAATAATGTACGAAGTTAATCTAATGGTGGATTATCCGTTGCCAATGATTAATCTATTCAACGATCACGAGTTATTATACTATATCAACTGCAGCATTAATCGATCAATCGTTAGTCCAACTATACGAAAGAAATAAAAAGTTAACTAGCCCTCACGTTTCGCGAACGCCAACACCTCGTTGTCCACTTTGCCGATCAAGCAAGGCACGTCCGCAAACTTTCCTTCTAATAACAATTTCCACACAGGAGTGGAGAGGAATGTTTCGTCGGGACCGGCGACCGATGCGTCTTCGTCGCTGGGCATGAACGCCAGCGTAATCTGCAACATTGTGTAACTGGCGGTTAACCCTTTGCACTCGGATTGATACGTCAATTAAAATGATAAAAGTTATTTAAAAATACATAACTATAAATATATAACCCTATAAAAATTGTAGCAATAGATTACTCTCAGTTTCTTCAGATATTCGTTATAGTATTCAAATGGTATCTATTTTCCGGATCATTTCGAATATTCGATGTTTCCAAGATATCAATAATTGCAAAATTCAAAGATCCAAACCAGTCTTGACTGGTAGTTCTAATGTTAATCTGCAAAGACCCCTGTACACGGTGATACGTGTCTCGTGACACGTATCGAAACAAGCAACAGGTTTGAGTCCTTTTCACTTAAGTGACGCTATGTTTACATCGTACAAATAGCGGAGAAGGTTAGAAATTGTAGAAATCAGCTCTAAGCGTCGAGCCTTGGCAACTTTAACCGCGACTTGAGAGTTTTAGAGCTGCAGCTCTCGAAGCTAAAGCGAACCCTTTACAAATGTCGACATTTCGGCTAGATGAAATTTTCGTATTTGGAAGTAATTACTCTGACAGCGAGAGATCGACACGTAAATTCCTTTGTTTCTATTGTTTGAGCGACTGATATACAAGTGAAAATGTTAATTATTCATTCAAATATATTCGATTTATTTATTAGTTGAGAAAAAATAATTTTCATCTGTTGATGGTTTTGTATGTTTCAAGAAGTCTTCGTAAGGGGTTGATATAGTACAGAGGACGAAGATTCGAGCATTAAATATTCTTAAGGCCCAAATCGAGCTTCCAAAGCTTCAGAGTAGATTCCTATCTGTTCTAAGTCGAAGACTCGAAATTTCTACAAGCTTAAAGCAACAATTTCCATGGAAATCTCGATGGTGAGAGTAGAATACGCACGTCTGACGGAAGACCGAAGTATAAATGGTACTGGTCGTGTGCGATCTGCGTAACAGTAGCCTTCATCAAGTTCTGCCACAGTTCTTTGTTGTTCGACGTCGCGAAGCCCATTCTCGCGCCCAACTTTGCAGCCGACAAACGGGCCCAAGCCTGTGGTTGAGATAGGGATATCGGTGATCCGCTCTGGGCGATGATTCTTTTGAACAAACCTATTGAACAATTGCCAACGAATGAAACCGCACTGTTTACTACCGAAAAGATCAAGCAAAATTATTAATGAATATGATCGTTTATATACTAAATAATTTTGTTTAAAAGGGAATTTTCAACGCGTTGAGTGCCACGGGAATTCTAAATGTTTCACTTAATGTCAATCCTGTCATTGCAAAGATAAATGGTATCAGAAATTGGTAATAATTTACTAAACACTTTCTATATAGAAGGATATGTAATTAAATACACTTAGATTTCTTAGATTTCTTAGATATCTTAGATTTCTTAGATTTCTTAGATTTCTTAGATATCTTAGATTTCTTAGATTTCTTAGATTTCTTAGATTTCTTAGATTTCTTAGATTTCTTAGATATCGTAGATTTCTTAAATTTCTTAAATTTCTTAGATATCTTAGATTTCTTTGAGCTCGTATATTGGCCCTAGGGTGAGAAAACCCCTCGCGAACAACGCCTGCACCCTATGACCCGCGAGGGGTCTCATCGCGTTTCAAGGCATGATGTCTCCATGCCAGTAGTTCACTCGTAAACTATAATGTCGCTGGAACATCCCTGGAACTTCAGACGAGAGATATCTTATCTCTGATCTGAAGCAGGTTATCCACGGTGAAAAAAGGATTCCTCGGGCTGAGCGACAGCAACCACTTATAATACGGTTGCACTATCTATTTTACTCGATAACGTAGTAATTATCCCGTAAGAGTCCTCAATGTTGTAAGATATTCCCTTACAAGTCGCAACGTCTATAAGATTACTACACGCCCTCAAGTCTCGCCCCAAAAGTCTCGCACTAAAGTTTCGTTCAAAAATTTCGCTCGAACATCACGCACCAAAAATGTCTCTCTCCACTCTCTCCCCTCCTTCCCACTCGCTTTTAACGCACACCCCCATTCGCTCTGTCTTTCTTACCCTTGCACCCTTCTCACTCGCATCTTTCGTCCATAGTGAAAATTCACGCAGTCACGTACACGCTGTTCTCGCGGCCCAGTCGCTCGGTTCCAGACACTCTCCTCGTATTCTTTCAGCCACTCAAGATTTTCTAAACGCAGTCACATTATTTTCCAAACATGCGCTATATAGTCGCCCTTACGCACGCACAACGAACCATTCATCCCACAATAACGACGAACGTTTTAGTACCTCTCGACATCGGAGACATCGTGTGAAGGATGGCAGACGAACTGCTGGAGCTCTGACCCATCACCGTCACATTCTCCGGATCGCCGCAGAACTTTGCGATGTTCCTCTTCACCCAGCGCAGTGCCGCGACCTGGTCCTTCATACCCTGGTTACCCATCGCCTCCTTAATGCCCAAATTCAGGAAACCTGTAACGTTCCGTTCGCTTCGCAGTCGAAGACGTCAGGTCTCGACGTCGTCGTTCGTATATAAACAACATAGGTCGCAGGTTAGGGTTAAAATTAGCGAGTTAAAACATTATCAAGCGTGTCAGTGTCTCTTCTGTTTTCGACGTTACACTTCATCATTTTGTAATTTTCATTATATTGCTAATAAAGCAATGATTTCCACGCGTATATCGTATACAAGAGGAGATTTCTTAAATTTGGCATTATGTCGACAAATCATCAACCTGGAGACACAGTTAGCGAAAACTCAGCTTTCACAGTGACAAGACAGTCGTTCAGGATACAAGTGAACTGTATTCTACAGATGTTAGTTATTCAAGTGATTTTTAACATACAATCATCTGCACCAACCCGAAATATTCGAGCGTTGAGTCGTCGCTCGAAGCGCAGATGAAAAATTCCTCAAAATAACACGAGTTCGACGTGCGCGTGAACGATGATCTATCAGATATTAGTAATTCAGTCTATACCTAGAGCGCCAAGCCGATAATTCAAGGCGACGAATACGCAGCCGTTCTCTAGGAAGAGATCAGGTCCATAGAGATCTTGGTCTTTGTATCCCGCGATAAAGGAACCAGGCGGAATCCACGCCATGACACACCGACGGCAATTGTAGTCGTCGGCAGACGTCTGTCGGGTGTTGAAAACGAAGATACGTCGAGAACTTGTTTATGAAATTGATGATTGATCTCTATGAAGTACAAGCAGTCTACGCGACTCACTAAAATATTCTTTTTATTCGAGGAAACGTTACTGTCGGATAATCTGATTATCGGAAGGAATCTGTGAAGCGAACGATAGATGAATAAAACGGTCATTGCATTGTTCTCACCTGTGGAACGTACACGTTCAGAAACAAACAATCTTCATCGCCCAGATATGATTTCCTGAAGAATGCATCGTATTGTATGCAAGCTGAGCGTTCCTCTATGGCGTCGTACACTTCTGTCCATGGTTTCACTGGCTGAGGAGGCTGCAAAATTCAACAACAACTTTCGATGTACTCCTCCTCCTATAGCTGTCAAACTTAAGTTTCTCATTGCAAATCCCTGGAAGAAGGATCTATAACTATTACGATCCATGGCTCTAAAGATTCTAAATCAGCAAAATGATTTATGCGCTCTTTCTCAAAACATCTGAATAAACTACCTATCGTACTAAGAACATTCGTCTAAAAATCTCATTTTGAAAAGCCACGCAATCGCTGATTGAAATTCTAGGGCAACAATATATCGGGTGGACTGAAACTAAAGCTCCTAACTCGATGAACTCAATTTGTGTCTTATGGACGCTATTCTCGTTGCTTCGCTACACCGTCGCTTCTACCTTGAATCTGTTGTTTCCGGTCGGCGAATCGGCGTACGGGATTCCCTTGAACGCTAGATAAGGAAGTTTCTCGTGCATGGTTTCCCGCACACACCCCCGCACGGGTCCCGACTCGGTGTGCACGACAGGACTTGGAGGACATCGTTGGTCCTGGGCTGCGCATTTCGTCGACAGAACGGAGAAAAGCAGAACCGTGCATCCCACGATTGGAGTCCGTCTCATTGTTCGAAGTTATTTTCTAACCGTGCACCTCGATTTCGCTGTCAACGTTTAGCAGCGATTTATCGGTTTCACTCGGAACAGGTTACGAGAGTTTTTCATAAAATTCCGCCTAAAACACTACGTTCGCTGCGATTAGTTCGAAATAGGACTAATTAATTTTCAGATGGCGGTTCAAGTGCTCGGTAGCTCTAGTGTAACTGTAACTCCAGGTCGGCTGAGGGACGTTTTAAATACTGGACGTTTCGAAATTCTATGGGTGTGCGACCATATTGGTGTAAAAACCGGAAATGCACTGGATAACGATGTCCCTTCCAACTGTCCCACCTCGCCAAGAATCAAGTTATCTTACATTGAGAACGTGGTATTCTGAGTCTGTCGCTTGAGCGCCCCGCAATAATGCGGATTTCTGGATATGAATAGTACATTTCATAAAATGTACTATTTTACGAAGATGTATAATGTTTTGAATATCTTTTCCGGCTACTCGTTGATCAGATACAAGCGAATGCAGCCGTTTGGGCTTTAACCCTTTGCACTCGAAATGTTTTGACTGGAAATATTCAAGATTTTCCGACGAGAGACAGTCGACATTGTTTGAAGCTGGTTTTGACGATAACTCACAGATAAATTCAAATAAAATTTAATTTATAATTTAAAATACTAAATATTCAACTTTATAGTTTTGCTGTATCAAATAAAGTGGTGACTGAGAGTCACCTCTCGAGTGCAAAGGGTTAACCCTTTGCGGACGAATATTCCTTGAAATACAAATGATCTCCAACAGATCAAGCTAAATTATATATCGATTACTTAAATAATAGAAATAGAGGAAGCTGCGTACTGACCTCTTGTTCGAGTAATTCAATCGTCCGTTCGCGACTTAGTCTTCGAAACATGTGAATTTTATTCTGTCGAAATGTCGACATCCGTCCGCAAAAGGTTAAATGTCGATGATGTCTACCCTTGGAATAATAATGAGAGACAAGGTTCGGGAAAGATTAAAAATGCTCTAGCAATCGAGGCAATCAAGCGGAGAAGTGAAATTAGATTTAAATTCATTCAAACCTTCGTAGCCCAATTGCAGTCTCTCGCAACCGTGACTCGACAGAAAAGTCGAGCCTAGAGACTTCAGGATCAAGTTTATCTAACAGATAGTTTTCTTGACATTATGCATATGTGACAAGCCTGAGTGCGTAGGATATGAAACGCGCACATGCTCGTTGGAATTTACAAACGTCGTTACATCAACTGTAACTTATAAGTGTTACGAAAGGGAAAGATTGACCTCTGACACCTGTTTCTACAAATTAAATCGGAACGACAATATTTCCCGACAAACATACAAGAGCTCTACTCTTCGTACGTTTCATGTATATTTCGATTGCACTTTTACGTCTAAAATCTGCTGTGGGAAACACGTGTAACATAAATACGTTCCCCAAAATCTAACCTTTCGCGCTCGAAGTGCTCAGACGCATCGCCAAAGTTCGACTCTACTCGAAGCGCGTCTCGAACACCAACGATATAGTGTACCGAAGGTTAAACTACTCGAATTTACAGATAAACTCCAGTTTCGCGGAATCTCGTGCTTCGTATCGGTGTTTAATCGTCGATTCCGCCGATAAAATAACATAATCTCCTATCGACCGTGAAAGTTCGAGTGGAAGAGGATGAACGCATGAAAGTCTGCAGTCCGGTTGCAGCTCGGTGCACTCGTGTTTAAAGCGATCCGAATGAAATCTCGACGTCAGCCGATAAACGGTAACAAGATCACACCTGTTGGCGCCATTGTTAGGCAAGAACGAAGCACGATAACGCCGGTGGCGTCTATAAATCATCGGCTCTCCGCGCCACCGGTGCCTCGTAACGAAATCCAGTTTTACGGAATTCCGACAATATATACATCTCGTGTTGACAAGCGAGGATTAATTTCGATGGATCGTGTCCTCGCCGAGCGGGGCAGGAACGGAGAACGGAACAGTGGCAAACGGGACCGCCTCCGCAATGCTCCGGTTGTTCAATCTCCCGTGATCGAAAGTGAAATCTATTCGTCACTTGGCCGCCGTTCAGTACCGCGAGCCAAGTGTCAGTTACACTGATCAACGTTCGCCGATCTACTGATCCGCCGTCGGGAAAATAGGATCATCGATAGCCCGCGACCTCGAGGGAGCGAAGCCAACCGGCTGCGACCGATCCTGTCGATCTCCGTGATCTGCCGGGGGCCAATCGGAGGAATCATCATTTATACCAGCTGATAACCGAGGGGATCCTAGATTACAAAAGGATTACGGCTGCACGTGATTATCGGTAAGCTTCCAGTAAATTATCTTTATTGTCCTTCGCGTGACAAACGTCTTGATGCCGTTTAATCTTCTGGATACCTTGGTTACCGTCGTTATTGCACGATAATGCGGGATTTCGGGCAATTGTGTGCGCACCGCGATCGCAGGGGATGTTTCGGCGATAAGGTTCACTCGTCGCTTTCATTTCTCGACGGAGTAATTCGTTAGGATAACGTGTTCCACACCGTTACCTCGATCTCTCATTCAACCTGTTACTTAGTCGACTAATCGACCGATCACGGAAGATTAATACATCGTTGACAGGAACTCGACTTAGAGCAGAACACGTAAAATGGAAAAATAGGGGATTAAATCATTTGATTGAATTGCGTTATCATTATTGCATGTTGATTCAGCTGAATGTCGCCGCGGTAGTTGGCAGTACTTATAACATAATAATCTTTTCACTTAATCATCGTTTAAGTGGACCATTCGATTTGGTCGCGATCACCGGTGACCCCCATTCAACGCGTTAATTACGTTTTTCTACCGTCACCGTGACAGACGGCGATAACGAAGCTGATAACGGATGTTACAATAAACATCTCCAATCGCAATTCCTTGCATCTAGTGTTACGCTTATCAAGATCCACCTACAGCGAAGCATAAAGCGTACTTTCACTCGGGAAGACTGAAAAACCTGCCAGCAAAAACGATCGATTGCTTCAGCTTGCAAATCGCTTTCTAATCGCGGAGGTTCACCTTTCCCAGCGTGCATGCAACGAAATTCGAAGTATGTTCCACCTGAAACCCGGACAGCGATCGGCGAGTGAGCAGAAACCGATAAGATCGACCGATAACTTCTATCAATGGAGAAATCTCCCCACCTCTCGCGTCAGCCGTGGCACGCGCGGTTGGCAGTGTCAACCGAGACAAACATATCTCGACAGATCGAATTCCATCGAGATACTCGTCTCTCGTCTCCGTTTCGAGCTGGAAGCGCATGAAAATCCGCCGATCGGCGACGAGTTCGTTACCCTCGGGAGTCTCGCGCATCAATTTCACTTTCCGAGAAAGCAATTAGCTCGCGCGTCGTTCGCGGCGAACGTTAGGGCCGGTTGACAGCTATTACATCAGTCCGATGAGCGGTCGTAATCGTTCCGCGCGCCGATAAAACGCACACAGCCGTGTAACGCGGGCGGACGGCCGAGCGTACGCTCACTCTGATTACATTCGATTCGTTAGTTCGCGATAGACGCACCGAGCGTTATCACCGGCTGCGGTTTTCGATCCGGCCGATCTCTTTCCTCCCTACTTCGAGCGCTGCGACGCATCCCGGTGTCCGAGATCCTTCTGACAGTTGCTCGCGACGCCGTGGTGCACGATCGACACCGTCACCATGACAGGTTCTTCTTCGCTCATTTATTCTCTTTTTTGCTTTGTCGTCTCGTTACTCGCGCGTGCATTAACGCGATCAATTATCCGTGATCGGGCAGCATTATCGAGATTTATTTATGAGCAGCGGCCGCTGCTATGGAAAGAAGGAAGGAAAGTCTGTTTTATTAACAAGATCGAACGCTGCCGGGAGAACGAATTACGATTCAGATTAATTATTCATATGTTTTCGTAACGGAGCGCAGAGTCTCCTCTTTTCCGAGCGAACGACTGTAATTAGCGGTTTGAGTGATCTGTTGATTCGACTGCAAGGCTGTGAATGGCATCGTTTCGTACGTGTCGGATGTGCAACCGGCGAAGTGCTGACGCTTCGGAGGTGAAGAGTTCGGAACCATCTGCGAATAAGATTCTTAAGGAGAGATGTAGAGTTACATTGACTTTTTCGAATTCCTATATAGAAACTCGAAGAGTGCTTTTGTTCGGACTTTAACCGATTTGCAACTCAGTTTGCTGAATCGATTTCTTTAATCATTTCTCCGCGAAACATCTGTTCCCTTTTTAATAATTGCGGAAAGAAGTCAGAAATAGATCATTTATGGTACTCTAATACGTGACCGATGGGAAACAATGTTTTTTTTATTGGCAAAGTGTTATCGAGAATCGACAGGTGGTTCTGAGCTTTCGGTTGACTGTATGAAAGAGAATGGAAGAATCATTGAATTCATTCTGCTCGATGTTTACATTGTCTGTCTTTCGCAAACTTCGAGCGTTGCGCGAGATGTAGCATTTTCGGGCGATTGCGCATGATTAAATATTTTTCAGTTGTGACGTTCGAATCGATGATAACCGTACCGAAGCATCGGTATACACGTTTACTCGTTGATCGTGCATGAAACACAAGGATCGACTGTCTTCCGTTCAATTTCATTTCACCAAAGACAGCCGACGCGTTCACTGGAACTGGGAGTTACTTAGAACATTATATTATGCATATATCGCATGCCACTGTTACCAGTCGAGTGAATCATAGTCATCTGTGCGATAACGACGGATCCGTTGCAGTCTGCCGACAGCAAACAGCAAAGTCGACTGGATTTTGTTGTGGTCATTGAATGAGTACAGTAATGACGTGCATACTGTTGGCATTATGAAGAAGCAGATAAGACGCGGGTTGTTCAATGACGTTTATAATGGAATAATTAATTAAGCGATAAATCTTCGTGTATTTAGATATGAGAATAAATGACAGTAAATGTTCGGTAAATCGAGAATTTCGGTAGAATCGAACGCAGATTTCAATCTAAATAGCTTTAATATTATAAAGAATTAATTAGAATCAGGAAGTATTCGTTATGGTTGCAATCTTAAGATATCGCAACATTAGCTGCGCCGATACGATCGGAAACGCGCATGCACAGGCTAATAATTAATGAACGCTACTTCGCCGATCATTTTTATTCGCGAAAAAAATGCGGAAGAGACTAACGATCATGTAATAACCGGAATGTTCAGAAGTTCCCTCTATTCGTTTCTTCGTTCAGCACTGCCGCGGACAATGTTCACACTGTTTTCCGCGTCCGATAAACGCGTTATGCGTCACCTTACGAACGCTTTTATTTCAGGTCACCCGATGAACCTCGTTCCCTTGATCCCGTCACTCTCAAGGCTGTCCATCGGTTTTTCTCGTAAAAAAACGAGTTATCATTTGTTTATCCTTATTTTCGGCTCATTATCACGCTTTCTTTGATACCATATTGCATATCGATTACATATGCATCGATCAATTAGAATAATCGATTCATACACGGTCTGAGAAGATTTGCGAGAGATATCGAAAAACCTTGTGTCGTATCTTTAACGACGTGTTTAAACGCGTTCGCTATTACTATTTGCGTCGATCAATCTACTAAAGAAAATATGAAGGGAACGAGAAGAAAAAAATGATCGAGATTAAGTATAACATCGTGTAACTGTCGATTGTAATATCCGTCTACATTATATTATCTTCGTTTACAATGTCTAGACTGTGATATCGATATATTAGTTTCATTTTTATTGTACGAAATATGAGATTGTAACCGTCACATCACGATGTCCGATTTCTCGACTGCAGTGCTTAATTCTAGTCTAATTTACGAATGAACTTTCGCAAGTTTTATTAATCCCGAAATGTACCGACTGCCCGCAGACTACTTGAGCGACGAGATGTCGGCGATCACGCCGGAATTGACAGTGAGGCGGCCGGTCTACCAGCAGGACGAGCTGAATCAGTTGTACAAATATGCGAAACCCAAGGAATCGCGTGAGTACCGACACGAGATCATTTGCTGGCTAGGCCGATGAATTCGGCTGATCGATCGATTCTTGTGATGTTCGATAGTGACATTAACCCTTTACACTCCGAGCAATTTTTAACCCTTTGAGGTTCACGTCGACGTTAGTTCATTCAATTGCAGCTTAATATGACGCTTTTTATTTATTCAAGGATATTTGGGAGTCATTGGAATGTTACCTTTAAATGGTACAATTGTGATACTACAAATAAATATAGAAAAAACTGTTAAAACAGGTAGTGGTTGCAATAAAATAGAATGTCGGGTTAATATAACCTTTTAATTCCGAATCATTACTGTAAACTACCTCTGTCAACGACCGAGGATCCTACTTTGTCATTAAAAAATACACGTATACGTTTCAGAATTTGTTTTACTAAAAACAGTGTTAGCAACTTGTCTTCTTAACACTTTGCCAAGTATACACTCATCGAAACTCCTACGCAATCAAAGCAATTTTCTTAATAACGCTGAAACTGAGAAGTCGATATTCTTCATAACGATTGCTCTACCATCTTTCTAGTATCTCGCATCTAACAGAATTCAGTTTGTTCGTTTCGTCACCGAGAAAAGTAACGTTTAAGTTTATGTGAGTCATGGTGTCACCCGAATTCGGGTGACATGGCAGCCAAAGTGTTGAAGGGTTGAAATCTATTAACGCTCTAATTTCAGTCGATTTTACCAGTTTTAGTTTCTATTTCCTAATGTTTTCGATTCACCGATTTAGCATTCGTCGATTCTGTTACGCGTGAGCAAACGAAACGATAAAACTGTAAACAGAAGTCGTCAGCCGAGCGTACTTCTCCTGAGACCATTTCTGCGCGTACTGTTCGTCGCGTCGCGACTTATTCCTGGATCAGCCGGGCTCTCCAGCAACGCCGTGGATGGCGAGCCGCTTATCTAGTCTAAACAAAAGACGTCTGCGGATAATGATCGAAAAGATCAAGACCGTTTATGATCCCGCTGGTAAACCGCGTAATAATTTAGGTCATCTGGACGCGTGGTGTCGTTAGACAGCAATTACGCGTCTGTAGCATCTCGTTGCGGCGTGTTGATCTTATTGACCTCAATGAGAAGGCGCGTGAGAGAGAGAGTCATGTGAATGTGCTATCTGGGAAATGGAATTCAGAAGGCCTCGAACCCGCGTGGTTCGACGTTGACGAAATATTATAACCCTTCGCGGACGAATGTCGACACTTCGGGCGAGACGGAGCGCGAGTACTTGGAAGACTAAGCAAACGAACGATTCGATTAGCTTCAACAGCGAGAGATCGGCACGTGGATGACTATTTCTCTGTTAATTAGGCAACCGATGTGTACTTTAGCTTCATCCGTTGAAGGTTTTCCACATTTCAAAGAATCTTCGTTAACACTAGGTTTACGGAACGCGTCAATTTGAAGATTGAATTTTATGAACATTATTTGATAAATGTTTCAATCGGTTTTCAGAAGATCGAGTGCAAATGAATTTAGGATGTTCAGTTGCAAAGAGTGTAAAGGGAATAGAGGTACTAGGAGTTTAGAATTAACCTTTAGGGATAGGTTTTAGGGTCGATGGTGTATCAGATTTTTCATGTGAAAATAATCAGTGACACACAGTATTACAGAGCGTCGCGTTCAGATGCAAGAAAATCAAGCCCATGATGGCTCTGAAAAATTCCATACCTCTAATCGGCTGGCTATCGAAGTATGATTGGAAGAGGGACATATTGGGAGATATCATCGCTGGAATTACTGTCGCGGTGATGCATATTCCCCAAGGTATGGATATTTGGCAATTATCGATTCAACAGTTGCCAGCACTCAGTAATGTCTACGCCGTTTTTACGTATGTAAAACTCTTGCAACTTGAAGCTTTAAACTTGAAATTGCAATTGCAATTGCAATCGCCATTGAAATCGAAATTTGAGATATGAAATATGAATCAGATTGAATGGATGGAAAATAAGGTGATTAATGAAATTTCACACTAAACGGTGTCGTTCGCAGGAATGGCGTACGCAATCCTAGGCAACGTGCCACCGATAGTCGGCATCTATATGGCTTTCTTCCCAGTGCTCGTCTATTTCTTCCTCGGCACGTCTAGACATAATTCGATGGGTAAGTCGTCCGAGCGATTCCGCCGTTCGTCGCCACCGTATTACGTAAAACGGAAGTTCCGATACATCACGTGGAAACAGCCTCGTATTTATACGACGCAGAGATTTATACGTCGAAAGACGCACGTTTCCTCTCAATCATGTGATCGTCAACTTTCGTCTCGACTGTACTTACTTTCTAATGGCCGCCGGATCATCCAGTAGACAAAATTGCACCGTAACTAACGCGTGGCGTCTCTTTACTTTTCCCGTTTCGTAAATCACGACCGCATCAACTTCCTTATCAAATATTTAAGTACGAATACGCTTGCCGCAGATAACGAAGGAGATTAAACGTTGGCGCGCGTATCTTAATTGCAAAAACAATGGGTGGAAGAACAATGCGAGGAACTACCGATACGTCACCTGCAATTAACCTTCATTATTTATGCCATGAAGGAACATTTGCATTAATAACTCCAGAACTACCGAGCATTCAATACAATTGATACGCGACCTGTATCATACTGATTATAGTATTTAAGTGAAACTATTTATTTTTCAAATCATGTAAAATATTCAATGCTTTTAAGGTATCGATCATTTCGAAACAAGAGAACCGAAGCTAATTATCTCAGAAATACGAGTGAACAGAGGAAATATTTGAGACAGAAGTTATAGGATCTTAAGTACAATAATATTTTACACATTAATCGCAAGTGGTTATCATAATTTTTACATAAGGTCGAAAACGAATAACAGTTGGAATAATATACGAAACAATTGAAATATTCATAACTCTTCTCTGCAACAGTCTAAGCTAACTTATTCTCAACGTTCGTTTCTCTCGCTATGCTCCGTCAATCTCTAACAAAACGAAAAGACGTCGTACCTCGCTGAAAGAATTCCTCGGGAAGCGAACGAATTCACAAGAATTAACCCTTTGCACCCGGGAGGTGACTCACAGTCACTACTCGATTCGATACAACGAAACTATGAAGTTGAATATTTAATATTTCAAATTAAAGTTCGCATTGCTACGTGAAATATTGAAATAAAACACCTCTGTTGCTTAATTTATCTATGAATCATCGTTAAATTAGTTTCAAACAATATGACCTATATCTCGTCGGAAAATGTTGAAATATTTCCAGTGAAAAACTTCGGAGTGCAAAGGGTTAAACGAATCTGTGACACGATCGAAAGGAGGTACAGTCGAACGTATTGGCGACCGCTCAACCATGTACCAATCGCATGCACAGCTGAATTCCAATTATTTTTCCCGTGTCAAGGCACGTTCGCGCTGATCTGCATGATGACCGGAAAAGTGGTCACGACTTACAGCTCCCAGGGTCACGTGTTCGGCAACGGTACCGAAGGAAACGAAGTGTTGTCCTCCGTCGCCAATCAATATTCACCCGTGGAAGTCGCGACCGCGGTCACGTTCACCGTCGCCATGATTCAGGTAATTATCCCGCCTCTTCGTTTCGTTTTTGACCGAACAAGAGAAGGTCGAGACGGAGATTCTCCACTGTATGTTTTCGGGACCAACCCCCCCAGTTAGCGATGTACGTGTTGCGGTTGGGGATCATCGCGACCCTTCTATCCGACAGCCTCGTTAGCGGGTTCACCACCGCAGCGGCCATTCACGTGTTCACGTCGCAAGTGAAGGACCTGCTGGGACTGAGGAATCTGCCCAAACGGAAAGGTCCTTTCAAGGTTATCTTGGTGAGTCTGATAATACAAAGATAATCTTAGTATATTATAGTAATCCCGGATGAGCCCCCAATTTTATAGTGGGGCTACTATTATTATAGATATTGAAAAGGTGGATCTTCGGTAAAAAGAGAATTAGGAAACAATATATATGTATTTAATGAGATAAAGAAACAATATGGACAACACGTAAAAATACAACTTAATACCACGAAGGCCAACACACTACTCTCTATCACGCACAAAAATGTTCTCCGCTGTCTCTCACCAAAATGTCCCTCTCGCACGCATTCCCACTCGCTTTTAACACACCCCCATTCGCTCTGTCTTTCTCACCCTTGCACCCTTCTCACTCGCATCTTTCGTCCATAGTCAAAATTCACGCGGTAAGAGTATAAATATTCGCGTAATTAATTACGATAGATGTCGAATTATTGAACTTCGAACTTAGAACTTTGACTAGGTCCGATCGGTAAAAGTGTTCGTAGCGATTATCTATATAGAATGAAGTTATCGAGACACTCGATTCACTCGTCTATAAACCGCGCTCGCCAAGTAAATAAACATTTCCCTTCTCGATAAGTAGGCCGTTTATCGGAATAAATAGAAACCGTCAATTACGCCGATAACAATGCGCCAAAGGAAAGAACGCGCGCCGCGTAATTATCACGTGCGGTTTTCATCTATAGCTGCCCGCGGAGAAAGGAATTCTGCCTTTCACTGCTGAGAATGTTCATAATCAACGGCGACGTCATACGTTAAATTAACTTTCGGAGGATGTACTAAGCTGAGTAAACTTCTCCGCGCGATAACACCGTTTACCGGCTCAAACAACTTCTATCGCTTTTTTGTGAATCCAGCGAGCGAGACATCTTTATAGGCAGTCGCTACAGGCTACCGCCGCCATCGAGAGCAAAAAGGTTCACGATCAACAGTTTCAACTCAGAATCACGCAATGATAAGTGAAGAATAATCTGCTAATTGAATTTACATGAAAAATCATTTGAAAGGAGAATTAAATGAAAATCAGAGTATAAATATGATTCATTCTTCTAAAGCTCGTGATCAACAGTTTCAAATCAGAATGACGCAAAAATAGGCAGAGAATAATCTGCTAATTGAATGTACGTGAAAAATCATTAGAAAGTAGAATCAAATGAAAATTAAGGTACAGGAATAATACATTCTTTTAAGTCTCTCGATCAACAGTTTCAAACCACAATCACGCAAAAATGAGTGAAGGATAATGTACCGATTGACTGTGCGTGAAAAATCATTAGAAAGGAGAATTAAATGGAAATCAAGGCACAAAAATGATACATTCTTTTAGCGGCAGTTTCAAGTGTTCATAGACCCATGAATTCGTTACCTAACAGTTTAACTGGAAAAACAATGAACCCGCCATCAAATGCACTTTAAGTATCGTTCGACCAGAAAGCAGCATTTTAAAATCGGTCGGCGCCCTCTGGCACGCATCTCAAGTTTCGTAGCAATCGCGGATTGCAGTCCTTGAAATTCGCTTTCGAAAAAACTTCCGTCTCTCGCGGCGAGTAACGAGCCGTGTCGGTAGACCCCGATACCGGGCAACCGGTTAAACGTCCACATTTTCCATTCGCACGGGAAATTAAATACCGTCGAATCTCCATCGAGAAAACGAAACCTGCACGAGGAAATCTGAGTTCAATTTCCGCATAGTTTCGGTAATCGTGGAGATTGTGGTCCGTTTGCGTCCGCCAGCGGAATAATCCACAATAGAAGAGTATACCTTGCGTTTCGAAGATCTATAATTAATCGGCGGGCAAGTAATCAATATTTAAGCTAGAAATCGTAACTCGATGATTCGTGTATCCACGTGCAATCTTGCAAAATTTCAGAATTGACTTGCAATTTTTCAATTCTGATACAATAATCTTAATTCCTAAGAGTACAGCTATTGAGATTTCAATTGATTTATGCTTCAATTAGCGTAATTCCTCGAAGAAGCATCTGTTATCTTTTGACTTATCGGAGAAGAAGTTAGGCATGATAAGTAACTCGATGTTTCAAAATTGCAGAACTGGCTTTTGCAATTTTTCAATTCTGACACAATAATCTTAATTCCTGAGAGTACAGCTATTAAGATTTCAATTGACTTATGCTTCAATCAGCGTGCGACAGAATGTCTTCGGTAATTCCTCGAAGCATCTGTTATCTTTAGACGAATTAAGAAAGAAGAATTCAGGAACAGGTGAAATTGACGCGTTGGTAGTACTACTGTCATCGCATAACAGGTCGATCAAGGAAACCGCATCTGGCGTCGTTTCTTCCGTGCCTCGTAGTTTTCCCATTCAGATTTACGAGCCGGACCAGTCGCGGTTTCCGGGTCACCCGATCGTCGTCGGAACGCGCGAGCATCAAAAAGTAAAAGCAGCTAATAACAGCGAGCTGCCCGACGGTTTTACTTCCTCTCGGGCCAAATATGTCGTTGTTACTGTGCAGCGACGGCAATTATTTCGTTTCCGACACATAATACAGCGGCCTCGAGGTACGCCGGGACAGCCGCCATTTCTCCGCGGCGACAGGTGACCGTTTCCCTGAGAACCGCCGCGGACGCATGAAATGCCGAATAGAATTCCACGATAAACTTTCCACCGCGTTTCATCGAAGAAATAGAGTCTTCGAGATCGAAATTGCTTCCTTAGCATCGATGGAAATGCTTACGAGGAAATTATTCGAGGATCGTTGCGTATGAATGCGAACGGTGTCTATAACAGGCTTTGCTACGTTGTTAGATCGGATAAAGGATTAGGCGAAGAACGATTGGAATATGCTGAATATTTAGTATTCATGTAGAAATACGTGTTTAGAAATAAACATTTCGATCGTTCACGGTTGTTTCAGACTTACGTGGACGTTCTCGAGAATATCCGCGACGCCAATGTCATCGCCATCTCGCTCTCGGCGGTGACTATCATCATTCTGATCATCAACAACGTGTTAAAGGTCGGTCTGAACGTAATGCTATTAACTGTTGATAGAGCTGTGCTTGTAAAGACACAAGGTTTCAACGGACAATTACCGAGAGGTTAGATCAGTGACTGAAATTCGTTCCACAGCCAAGAATTGCGAAAGTGAGCCCGTTCCCGATTCCCATAGAAATGCTGGCTGTAGTGGTGGGCACGGTTCTCGCGGTGTACGGGAATCTGGAGACCGCTTACGGAGTTGTGACTGTGGGTCACATACCAGTCGGGTAACAATATTATTTATAAAACATTCCACTGTCAATATAATACTATCGTTTAATTGCTAGATTAATGTAACGTTTTAGATATGTATAACAGAAATCGAGAGTAAACCTACAAAATCGAATTCCTTATTCTTCTTCGTACGTTAGAAATTTTGGTTTCATCGATGTTTACATTGATATATTTTTAAATTAGATTTCAGACTATACTGATATACTTTTAATCACCGACGCTCGCGTCTCTACTAGCTGAAATTTATCGTACAATGTGTTCGCAGCTTGCCAGCTCCATCGCTGCCGCCAATATCCCTGGTGCCCAGCATTTTAATCGACAGTTTCGTCATCACCATGGTGTCCTACACCATATCGATGTCCATGGCGTTGATCTTCGCGCAGAAGCTCAGCTACGAGGTGGACTCCAATCAGGAACTCGTCGCGCAGGTAAATTAACAAGGCGTTCGATACAATCGCTTCCTGCCCCCTCGCTGGGCTTGGTCACGCGGTTTTCTATAAATGACTCTAATGGAGTAATTATTTCCCACCTCGACCCAGTTCGAGCCTCCGAGCCTTCGACGTTGTCTCGGGATTCCGTTTTAACAATGCATAATGTATAGAAGCGTCTGCTCCGCTTGTCAACTAAGACGCGCGGATCTATGCCAGCCGAGCGAACTCTACGATTCTAGTCGCAAACGGCCTAGTTTACCAAAGTCGGCACTTTGATCCGGCAAGGCTGGCTCCTTGGCCGCGTTGATCTACGGCGAACACCGAAAACAATCATTACATTATCGACTCGCTGACAGAGCCGCGACGTGCGGGGCGAGATTATTGATCAAAACTGTGATTCGATGTCTTTCAGGGCGTCGGTAATTTAGTTGGATCCTTCTTCTCTTGCATGCCCTTCACAGCTTCGCTGTCTAGATCCTTGATCCAGCAAACTGTCGGAGGGCACACTCAGCTGGCCAGCTTGATATCCTGCGGCATTCTGGTCAGCGTTCTGCTGTGGATCGGGCCGTTCTTCGAGCCGTTGCCTCGGGTAAGTTCACATCGATCGAAATAAATCTTTAATTCGTCCTTGATCGACGCATTCGACTGGCATTGGATTAAAACGCAATCACAGATTAGCATCGCTTCTGCTGCAAGAAGTTAGTCATCTTTGTTGTAGGAAAGAAAAAGATCAATCGCCATTGATTTCATGGCTGTTAATTGGCGATCTCTCCGGTACGACAATGAGCTAGAAATTATTTACGTCGAACGATAACGGTAAACGTCAATTTTCCGCTGTGTTATCGGTTCATGCAAACACGCTTTGTGTCGGATAATGTAAAAACATTACCTTCGGTGAAAAAAACTGACTTTTTCGTGTGATTCTTATTAGTTATTATCGTCAATAGTAATGTATTCGTATAGAAATAATCAGAAACGAAGTCAAGAGAAAATATTTATATATAGATATACCGTTTTTCTATATGTACATAGTTCAACGCTAGAACTACCATTTAATACGATTACTATGCAGTTCCTATAAAAATTGTAACCATAGATTATCTTCAGTTTCTTCGGACATTCATTATAGTACTCTAGTGAAACTATTTATTTTCAAAATCATTTCGAATATTCAATGCTTCGAAGATATCGCGATTAACCCTTTGCACTCGAGAGATGACTCTCAATCACCATTTGATTTGACACAGTAAAACTATAGAATATGATATTTAACACTAAGTTTACGGGCATTTATTGTACAGTTTATTCTATTGTTCCTGGGGAAGTTGATATTCATTTAGATTTTGGAAATTGTAGGTGTAGAAATAGACAATCAGGATTCATATTCGTATAATGGGATCAACGAAAACCGATTGAAACGTTTACCAAATAATGTTTATAAAATTCAATCTTCAAATTGACGCGTTCCGTAAACCTAGTGTTAATGTTAAACTCTGTATAATGCCTCGATACGTGAAACATTGGAACAAAATAACTTTGTTCCTTAATGTACCGGTGAATTCTCTTCGAATTAGTCTCAAAGAACATCGTTTTCGTGAAGAAATGGTAAATAAAAAATATCCGAGTGCAAAGGGTTAACAGTAAAATACCTAAGTGCTCGATCTGACGACCGTGTCTGTGAACAGTGCATCCTAGCGAGCATAATCGTAGTGGCTCTGCAAGGGATGCTGATGAAGGTGACGGAGTTCAAGAGATTCTGGAAACTGGAGAAGACGGACGGTCTGATTTGGGGAATAACGTTCACGACGGTGGTCCTGTTGGACGTGGAGTACGGCTTGCTGATCGGGATCGTCCTTTGCGTGGGCAAGCTGATCATGTTCGCGGTGCACCCGTACACCTGCACGCTCGCTCTAGTACCTGGTACCGAGCTTTATCTGGATACCAAGAGATATAAAGGCGTATGGAATAACACAGTAGTCTCTTTATTTCGCTTCCCTCTTGCCTCCGAAGCTACGTGACCACTCGAGAACAACTCTCGACAGCTCGGCGCTCGTATCCACTTAAGAGTTCAGCTCCTGCGAGTTATCCTCTCGAGGACGAGTTAACCGTCGCGGAACTGCTCCCAGCTCCGTGCAGCTATCGGTTCTACCCTCGAAAACGAACGCTTTTAAGTAGACGCGCGGCATAAAGGGACTCTCGAGAGGAGAATTCTGCCGCCGACACGTAGCTATCCTCTTTTCCGACGAACTTTCCGAGCCAAGGTCTCCCGTTCATTCGCGCCGGGTAAAACTCCCGGCGCACGGCGAAAATGTTAATGTCGCGAATCTACGGAAACCTCCTCAGTCTACTTGTCACGATTCAGGCCAGGCCAAGCTCCGGGGAGTTTCCTAACGCGGAAGGATTGTGTTCCAGACCGTCGAGCTGCCGGGAATCAAAATCTTTCACTACGCCGGTAGCTTGAACTTCGCCTGTCGTCAGCACTTCCGCGAGGAGGTGTACAAAGTTGCCGGGCTGACGCCGCGGAAAGAACCGGACGCCGGCTTCAAGCACGACGAGCTCAAGGAAATTAAGAAGGTGGGTTGATCGCCTATGGTTTCGCGATCGATAGGAAACTTTCTCGGGTCAAATGTCCTTTGACTCGGCCTCGCCGAGCAGGATGTTGAACCGGCGTCTCGCTGTATCGATTGTGTAACGTCCGGGATTGAAACTTCCATGAAGCCACGGTAGAAAGTATCGAACTCTAAGTACCGAACTCTCTTCGAGATGAAATAACGTTGTTTATTAACAAAAAATCCTGATTTATGCAATAGGACGTTAATAGTCGCGTTTCGTCTCTCTCGTCTAAAAGATGAATTTACGTAATGGGAATGATACGAATTGCTTCCGTTTCAGCTGCGCACCCTGATCCTCGATTTCACCAGGGTGAGCCACATCGATCTAGCCGCCGCGACCACCCTCGGGAACCTGATCGACGAGTACTGCGACGCCGACGTGTCCGTCTACTTGGCGGGCTGTTCCGGTGAGTAGAATCGATTAGCGGATCGGAAGCGGAAGAACCTCTTGGAACGATCGACGCGCGCGATAAAGCGGCGTCGCGCATTAAACGCAACGTTCGTCTTGACCTGCCGCAGGACCTGTGTACGAGATGACGAGAAAGTGCAACCTGACGGAATGCAGGGGCGGCCTGTTCGCCGTGTTCCCCACCGTCGCCGACGCGGTCAATTTTGCAAGATCCACCAACGAACTGTGCTCCGTGCCCACGTGGAGCTCCTCCGTGTACGAGGACGCCAACAGCGCGAGACTGTGACCGCGGAATCTTGATCGCTGCGGATCGGAACGTTCATTCATGAACGCCATGGAGATTCTCAATCGAACCGCGGTAGAACGGTAGTTGAGTGAAAAGCGTACGCTGATATCGAGATTCTGACTGTATGGTATTCTTAACGCATCGCGCCGCACGCGGGATTTTTCGAATATTTTTCATTAACACTAGATTTACGGACGTTTACTTTACACTTTAATCTATTGTAGAAAACTACGTGTTCGTCTATATAAATCGCGAAAATTGTAACTTCAAAGCCAGAGTGTTGTAGTGCGTATTGGCATAATTGCACGAACCAAAATCGACTTAAACTGTAAATAATGTTTAAAAAATTCAATATCCGTCAAATTGGGTTCCGTGAATCTAGTGTTAAAGATATTCATTGCTTTCTGACTAAATGTTAACGATATTTTTCGCAGTTAACACAATTGATTGTATTCTATAAGTTAGAAGACAGAACTATTCTACTTCGATGTTTTATGTGCTGATGCCTTACACAAGGTTTAATATTGAATTGAAAATTTTATTAGTTTGCTGCGTCGAATCAAGGGTTAATTGCTAATTCTACGTTAATGCAACATTTCAGATATGTATAACGGAAATCCGAAGTAAAATTACAAAGTCGGATTCCTTATTCTTTTTCGTCAGTTAGAAATTTCGGTTTGATCGACATTTATATTGATACATGTTTAAATTATGTTTTAGATTGTATTGATGTATATTTAAATTATATTTTAGACTATATTTAAGCCGGCGTACAATGCGTTAAGCTGTATGATACTCTGTTCAATTATCCTTTCGTTTTAGAATAGTCAATATTAGCTGAGAAAATATCGAGACTACTTTCGTTGTATAACTGTGGTTGTAAAAACAATGTAAGTCGTATGTTCATTTCTCAGATTTTGAGACTCGATTAACGCTCGAGTTCATCGTTCTCTTTTTTCAAGATTTTTGCACATTGTAGATGAAGTTTGTAATTGGCTCGTTTTAATTTCAGAGAAAAATTAATTTCTACGGTGTTTTCTCTCTTTGTATTGTAGTCCAGAGTTTTATAGATCTCGAATGGTAACCCTTGTTAAAGGAGATCGAAGATGATTTTGACGATGAAGAGTTGATAGTTTCCAGGAATTACATTGATGTACATATTTCCGTATTCATGTAAATAACGTGGAACTACGTCCAAACGTATCTTTAAGAGAAACAGTTGAATGTATACTCATTTATGACAAGAGTGGACGAACAAGTTGGCTGGGAAGGAAATGTCATGTTGCAAAAATGTTTCGCTTGGAATTCCGCGCGTGTAGAGGCGTGTGCCCACTCTTGTCATTATACGTCGCTACGAAATAAGAATGTCTAACATTGTTGCATGCCACCGTTAGAAATGCGTTTTCTATCACGTGATGGCGCAAGAGACTATTTTGAAGTTGATCGGTTTGAAATGCAGCGATCGGAACGTTTAACCTGTAGCAGTCCTATGTCGAGTCAGACTCGACATTCTATTTCATTGCAACCTCTACCTGTTTTAACAATTTCTTCTATATTTATTCGTAGTATCACAGTTGTACCATTCAAAGCTAACATTTCAATGACTCCCAAATATTCTTGAATAAATAAATAGAGGGACTGCACTTGGGACTGCAAAGGGTTAACGTTGATGTTAGAGTTAACGTACGTGAATGTTGATTGTTCTGTACTTAAAACATAGGTCAACAGTACTAGATAAAAATGGATACACTCAAAAGAAAGGACATTTTGACATTTAGCAGAATTATTTCCTCTACGGTCGCTGCAATGTAGAATTTAACACGTTGAACGCCGCGAAATACGCAAAATGGAAGAAATATTATTATTTATAATATAGAAAAGTTTGCGAATAATCGTTTAATCCAGTAGGTTATAGTAACTCGATTTGCTTGGGGTCACCGGTGACCCCCATGGCATTCAACGTGTTATAATAATACGCATACTTATATTTCAGTTATATTTAATTTATATATAGTATTATAATTACGTATTATCCGTTAGTGCACGTTATTTAAGTATAATTTATACATTGTAAAATGTAATAAATATAAACTTCAATACCGATATAATCATTTGAGACAATTGAAATTCCCGCCATATGAAAATTTACACGTAGCGATCTTCAAGCATTGCGCATGCGCGGGCGACGTCAATAGTTGTATACGTAGCAAGTGCCAACTGAAGTTTGCTTGTTGTAAACACTACCGGTAGTTTATAATTATTTATTTACAATGAGCTCGTGGATACAGTACATTAAATCCCTTCCCATGCATATGGTAAATTTATGAATTGTGTTAAATGTAACATAAATATCTGTTAAATATGTATCTAACCTCTGGTGTGTAGGTTATGATCTCCAGTACAACAGACGTTACGCATTTCAACAGATAGTTGCTTTAAGTCGAACCGCAATTTTTAAATAATTGATTTTCTCTGCAGGATTATGATGGGCAAGCACGAGCAGAAAATTTATCGCGGGTCATTATAACGCTATTTGGAGTAAGAAACCATTGCCTGAAATGTTTATTGTCAATACTCATGAAAAATATCTATTGTCAATGCTACTTTTATTTTTAGGTGGTTGGATTAATATGGGGATATCTGATTCAACAATTTTCCCAGACTATTTATATTCTCGGCGCTGGATTTCTAATGGCAGCAATAATCACATTACCACCTTGGCCAATGTACCGCCGTAAGCCTCTGGACTGGCAGAAACCACAGTCCGATGTCAATACCAAGTCAAAAAGGAAAAAATAATTTATTGCCAATTATGATTGTATTTAATAATATTTTGTTATGCGTTATGCAACAATTATTAGCATGACAAGAAAGTCAACTTTCTTCGACTGACATTGCATTTAAAAGTATGTATGTACAGTAGTGCAGAAAGAAATGGAATGGTTCAAGGAATACTTTTTAAAAATTAAATTCATTCCAATGATTGGAAACGGGAAAGAGTATCATTTCTTTACTCCCTTTTGCGTTTTAATGATAATACTCGCTGAAGCGAAAAGTAATGGTCAAATGAAAACATACTTAGCTGCATATGTGTCAGTGAGGTAGTCGCGTTCAAAATGAAACATGTTCAGAGTTTCGTAACTCTTGGTAGCCGATTTTCCTGCCCGATGTCAATACTGTCGTAACGCAACATCGCCCTTGAGACATTTTACATAAATCTCGTTTCAAATTCCGTGCAGCGAAGCGTCAGTGTCGCTCCCGAACAACTATTACAGAACCTGAATGACGAAGACCGTTGCGTGTCATTGCACCGGTAGAAATGCGTTTTCTAACGGATGACGACATCCTATTTACTTACGATCTTGTCAGCGTTTCAAAAAAGCAAAACGTAACTAATTAATAGTTTCCATCTAACCGATCAGTGACACGATCTTTGGCACGAACAATAATGTTAAACTCGATTGCAACTTCTTCCAGCAGTGGATCGTGGAAGGGGAAAGGGAAGGGGGTACGTGACGAAATTTAATGATGAAAACTTTTCATAACAAAAATTTATTCTATACTTGTTGTGCCTCTGCAATGCAAAGTATAGTGTATAATCTAAAAAAAGACTACTTCATTTAGGAAATCATATAAATCAGATATTAAGGGAAAATTTGCATTGTACGGATATCTGTTTAAATCGAAACTACAAATATGGACCAAACATCCGGTGTCGTAACAAAATTTGAATATCAAACTTCAGTGCTCAACTTATATGCTCGAATTTTAATCATGAAATTTCCATTCAGAGGCATTAGAAAGCACAATATACGTAACGTATGAATTAATCTACAAAACAAGGAAAAATTGCACAATCATGTCTGTCTACGGAAGTTGCATATACAAAGTAATCAAGTTACTGGTTATGTTAACTCTTCAACTACTTCGAATAAGCTGGTTCCACCGTTATTTCATCATCGCGTACAACTGTGAGTATTGCATTTTTGCCACTGATTATAAATGAACTCTTGTTTAAACGCAATATTAAAACATTTCGTTTAAATGACTCAATTTTTCTGGAACTTATTAAATCTGGCGCCAAAATTAATTCATAAGAAAACAACTTAAACATATTACGCAAGAGCTACGTTCATAACGAAGTTCGCCTCGTGTTTATTGTGACCGGTACGTCCGTGTTGTTTATTTACAATGAATTCGTGGAAAGAATATATTAAGTCCATTCCAACTCACATGGTAAGTTCGCAGTTCAATCTTCAATTAACATCAAACCACTAAATGCCGTAAGTAGTAACCTTTGAGCAATGTTTTGATTTTTCTATACATAGGTTATGTGCCATCAACTGTCAAAGTCAAATGACATATCCAGGTGACATTAATTAAAGGTACATTTGTTTTTTTTTTCATTCAAACTGCTTACTTTTCTAGGACTATGAAGGCCAGGCAAGGGCAGAAAAATTATCCAGGGTGATTATAACACTGTTTGGTGTAAGACATTTATATTGCAAGTACTTAAACACTGCACTATTAATAGACAACTTCATTTACACATTATTACCATTCACAGGTAGTAGGACTAATATGGGGATACGTGATCCAGCAGTTTTCGCAAACAATCTACATCCTTGGCGCCGGATTCGTAATGGCTGCTTTGATTACAGTACCACCGTGGCCTATGTACCGCCGTAAACCATTGGATTGGCAAAAGCCACAGCAACAGCCGGCAGTCACCGCCAAATTAAAGAAGAAGAAGTAGTTAATTACCATCCTGAACTGTCTATACTTAACACATTCTCGTTAATATAAGATACATCACTATATTTACCAATAACTGTGCATAGATTCTTTATTGTTTTGTAATTAAAACTTACCTATGATTTCTAAGCAATTAACTAAATCAGTGCCTCTATTGTACACACTATCGTAAATCGGTAATGTGTTACCTGTTATCTGTACATCGCATTTATAATATATTTATTACACGATACCTAACGTTTCACTTAGCACGCCCGATCTCTCTAGCAACTGAAACGGACAGAAGTGAAAAAAAGCCGAATGGAACGGGATAATTTAATTATATAAATGTAATATAAATGTGCGCGATCGCGTAACATATTTATTTATCATTGGAAAGTAATGGTTATTGCGAAACGCGACGGAGATCGACGTAGACGATCTCGCCGACCGGCCCGTATAAAATATCCGATTCAGAATTTCCCTTCCGCTTCGGAACCGCCGTTACGTAATCGCCGCCGGCAAAGGAAGGAGCTTCGTAACAGGATCAATCCCGGGCGTTTTCGATTTGCCATCGGTTCCCGGGACGAATGAGACAGCGGACGGCCGGCGTACGCGAACAATTAACCGGCGTTTATGATTTTATACGGCGCTCCGTGCACCACCCATTGGATCGGTTCCAATGATTGACTTTCATCGGCCGCGTTCCTCATTTTCTCCCGTCGCACGCGAACCGAAGCATATTTCCCTCAAAATTGGCCTGCCGAATGACTTTCACGGGACAGAGAAGCGGTAGAAAATGTTTCGGCGAACGGTGGGGATGATCACGAACGATCCTTACGTAAAAGTCGCAGGAACCGATTATGCTCGCATCGAAAAACACAAAGCGCCGCGACCGCCGTCGGACACCTTGTACCATCCTCCTCGCATTTCTCGGCAACCACTCGTCCCCTTTCGTTACACATTGCACGTACGCGATCGCGAAAAGGGACTGCGGTTTGCGCAACGAGACCGTCGCAATCGTTTCGCAAATGGCTTTTCATCGACACGTTCGCCGGACAAAGGAAGATCTTTCGATCCAGCTCGTTCTATACCGTTTCAATCGATTGTCCGTTAAAATACGAACGATTCAGTCCGAGCGCACGTTTATTACCATTACAAATAGTTAACTTAACACGTCCGCGGGCGTGAATAGCATTCGACTTCGATGCTATAACATTCAAATTTATAAGCTATATTGTATTTTATTTAAATAATTCTATATAGCCAGAATTTGTTGAAATTGTCAAGCAACTCTCAGAGATTTGCATTTTTTCTATTTTTGTAGCTCATCAAAACTTTTACTGTGTTAACGTTCGTAGAATATCATCCCTTCACAGCAAATACAGATTATAGAATTAATTATGAATATTTTAATATCATTCAGACGTTAAATGATAAATAATAAATGCCCGTAGACCTAGTATTAATAAATATCAGTCAACAAAGACAGACGTTATTCCAACTCGACGCCTCCTCTGTAATCCTCCGAAGCATTCTACCCGGTCGCACGTGGAGTTACGTCGTCCACAAGAACAAAAGAACATTGACAAAATCGCGCAAGAAACAAGGCCAATTAGTGAATTCCTCCTTAAGCGTTTCCGTCATTCCTCAGCGGTGGAAGGAACGTTTCTGAAACGTTCCCCGCTCGGAGCGCGTATTAACGTCGGGACGGGACGATTTCGTCACACGGCCGGCTCGACGAAAAACGAACAATCGGTTCGGCCTTTTCGGATCCTCTTGTGCCGGGGACCGGGTTGTTGCACGGTCACTTTCACTGGACGGGCCCGGGATGGGCCGCCTGCGCGGTGGACCGAACCCAAACAGCCCCTTGCGTAATCGCGATGACTCCGGACCCACTGAAAATCACCGCGGAATTGCGTATACCTTTCTCGCCTCACCTTGTTACCGGGTGCAATCGCCACGCAAGATACACGCAGGTACACGGACGGCGAGGGTTACGAAACGCTTTCTCCCTCGTATGATGGATATTTTAAGTATGCAGTTTGCACCACTTCCTGCAACACGCTCGCCAGGTCAGCGGCGCATGCACGTAAAAAACGGCGAACAAAACGGAAAATGATCAACGACGGGCGAGGGCGGGTGGCGGGGGGGCGGCGGGGGAAGGAAAATGACCGAAAGCAACGTGCAGTGTCGGGACCGTGGCGGCGATCGTTACCTTGCTCTTAACACTGACTCCTTTCTCGAAACGAGCCGACTGGAAAGCGAGACCGTGCCGACGCTGTGTGCACCGCACCGGAAGCGCGTGGGATCCGATCTGAACGGATTACGCAGTCTATCCTTCTTTTTCCCTGCGCGACCGAACCGTAACGTGATAACATTCTCCGTGTCGTTGATCCGCGAGTCGTTAAAGCACACGTTACGTCGAAGATGGCGGCTTGTTACGTTTCGATTCGCAAAATGGCGGCCGCTCGGCGACGCCGGTCCGACGCGTAGCAATGAATGTTAATTTTGATAGGGAGTTGGCGAGCTGGGTGTAATACGGAATAACTGCTTGTTTCTTGATCCTTTCGAGATTATTGAAATCGACGAGGAATTGATGTAATACGAGGTGTAATCTTGAATAATTAAATACAAAGCGTTGTGTACTTAATGATACTTCTCGGTCGTGTGATTCTCATATTACGCACAATGTTAACACGTTAAGCGCCACGAAAATCTTAAGCGTTTTCCCATAGAGTTTGTCTTTTGTAGCAAAGAAAAGTAGGAATACTTATGAATTGTTTGCAACGTTTGCGTTACACTATTATCAACTTAGTTGCCTTATTAAACATTTTTATTTCACATCGGCTGTCTTGTGTGTTACGATTGTTTTTTAGTCATTCAGAAGCGTCAGTAATTACTTCAATAGTTTCAATAATCTCATCGAACGAATATATTCTGTAACTTTCAAGTTGCAATGACATTAAACTTTCTCGCCTGAGCGTATGAAAGTTTAACTGATCACTTAATTTTATTCACTACTTTGAGTGCAAAATGAAGTAAATCAACAAGATGCCAATATACTGATACGTGACTTCAAAGTTACACGAGCCTACAGAGGGTTAACGAGACAGGTGAAAATCCTCAAAATTCGATTGATCGAAGGCTGCCAATGGCAAGTACTTAGGGAAACTGGAACGAATAAGATCCGAGTGTCGCAACAGCGCCGGGAAACACGGGAAGTCAACAGCACGGTCGGTTAACTTTTGCCCATGAATTTTATACTCAATTAACACGGGAAAATGTATACGAGGTTTCGATGGCTCCGCCGAATAGCCGGTCCGAGTTGGTGATTACCCGAGTAAAGGGGTTTCGAGGAAAGATCGTTGGAACACTTCTCTAATGTTCCGTCCCGAAGGCGTTATATTACCATTATTATTGGACTGGGAACGGGAAGCGGATGACTGGAAGCCGAATTGTCGACCGGAAGCGAGGAACATTTCGCAAGTTCGCCGGACAGACGCGACGCGGGAGGTCGTAATCTTTTCGCAATTAACCGTCCGCCGTTCGTCGCAGGAAGGACAATATTCGAGTAGGTTATTAGAGTTATTAGAGGGGCTCGATAATGAGATTTTCCTGTTCCACTTAGCCGGTCGCAGTCGACTGACGCCGAGCCAGATCCTTCCTTCCGATGCCGATTGATAAGCGATAATCCGCTCGTGCGCCGGGTACGTTTCGGTCACGCACGGTTATATCAGCGAACCGGCAGTGTCAACGTTACTGTTACGTCTATTATAATGAGATGAGTTTTTTGGGGCTCGTTGCGACATACACCGGAGGACACGCAATCAAATTTCTCTTTTTCGAGAAACGATGACGGGACGTTATCAATGGCTGTTAATTGATCGTTATATTGCCAAACACCTTGCGAATGGATGATGTCAATCGTAGGAGCTCGAGGATAATTATTCTTCGTATATTTTCAAGATGCGTTGTTTTGTTATGATAGATCATGGCAACGACAGGTTCGAGTTTCGGAAGTATGATGCAGTTCGACAGGAGGTGTAATGTTCGTTGAATCCTTCGAGTGAAATCGTTCACGTAATAGGAAAGAATTTCGACAGTGTTCCTCGTTCGCGCGACAAACGGAACATGTTTGCGGAATCGTGCATAATTATGCGATTTAGACGCAAAGGATATCGCGGAATTTATTGGCGATGTTTGGGCAAGTTCCGTTCGCTGTATCTCGTCTCTTTGGGCTATCGTCGAAAGTTGTGCTTCTACGGAGAATTTCGCTTAATTAATATTCACCTTGTAATCTCCTATTTGTAAATCACGTTCCCGTAATTAAGGCTTCGGCAAATATAAGTTAAGCCCCAAGTTTCGAATTCGATCGTTGAAACATCAAATTCTAATCCCGCGTTTGATCACTCCACTGATCTCCATCGACGCGGCGCGCCGCGGACGAGTTTTACGAAACCAGTGCAAGTTTACGTGCCAGATATCAGTATAGGACAAGAGCGGCTCGTAAACTTCATTCAACGCTCATTACGCAAATTACGATATCTCGTAGCGCGCCCGTTAAACGGAGCTTTCTCCTCGCTACCGATAGGTGTCGATGTTTCCTGCGAAAAATCCGCTCGATTCCCGATGGAAATAGGAAACGATTTTCCTCGATGGCGGCCGAGCGCGGAAACAATATCTTCCGACGATCACCGAAGCTTCCAGCTCCGGAACTATCCGTCTAATAACTCAACATCCAACCACTTCATTACCCGTTCTCAATGAACTTGGAATCCACTCGCCGAAACGCGCTTCGCTAAACTCATTTCCATTCCCGGAGTCTCGCAATCATCCCGAAAACTACCCGATTTCGACATCCCCCGAGATTACCCAACGCCCGCCGTCAAACCATCGAAAAAAACAAATTGCAACACGCGAATAAATCTATTCGTAACGGCGCGAAATGCGCGAGGTTGTGAAAACTCCGTAGAAACTTCATTAAAAAAACTCGCTTTCGAACTTTTCCCGATTTTCCCGGCCTCGCCCCTCCGACGCCCTCGTTTGCGACGCAGAACGGTGAAGGAAACAATCGTTCACGGTTCTTTGCAGCGACACGCGAACGGTTCCGCGGATTCGCGACTCGATTCCTCGTTCG